GCAGTCAGGCCAGAAGTACTGCTCGAGGGTCTGAATCGGCTGTCCCTAGCCCTGGATGTGCGGCCTCCATCGATCGAGTAGAGCGGACCGCATTGTATCGAGCCCGATCTTAAGAATCTGATCTCCAATTACAGCATTTTTCCGCGTAGGTATAATCGGGCATCGAGTATGTTCATCGAAGAAGGGATCGGCCCCCGAGGGCTGCTTAACCCTTGCGCGCAGCTGTAGAGGTATATTTAAAGCTGTAGGTGTACCAAGACTTCCCCGATATGCTTGCAAGACTCGCACCTGTATTACTCAACCGACCTGCACCATGGAATATGTCCTGGAAAGCCTGAATGGCCATCTGGACTCTGTCCGCGACCTCCTCCGGGGCAAGCTCCGTGACGAGCTGCATTCACGGTTGCATAACCGGGAACGTGGGGTGCTCCCTGACAAGGAGCTGACCATTCTGTCGGCCAGGACCATTGATCTGTTACACTCGATTGAGCAGATGCTCGAGCCTGGTCCACTTGTACTCGCTGACCATTTCCTCGGTAAGCTAGAGCCAACATGCTGACAGAGCAACCGACTGACTGGAATCCAACATGAGGGTACACGAGCACAAAATGCCTCTGCACAGCCGTCGAGCTCAAGATCGCTGATATCCTCCGCGACAAGGGCCCATTGACAGTAGACAAGCTCGCCGAGGAGAGCGGTGCGCGCGCAGATCGGCTGGAACAGATCATGAATGTTTTGCAGAACAACGGCATCTTCGAGCGTGACCATGTTACAATGACATACGCCAACAACCACACTTCCACGCTCCTGCTGCGCGATCACTGGATGCAATGGCATAACTGGGTGGACCTATACGGCAACCAGTTCTACGACATGGCCCGAGGAATCCCGCAATCCGTACGCAAGGACGCCACACGCTCGCCAGCACAGATCAACTACGACACCGACAAGGATATGTTCACCTACTTCAACGAGCAGGGCTGGGTGCCTCAGCTGCATCGCACGCTGGGTGCTGGCGCCACTGCTCAAGCACCCGGTATTCTGGCCGACTATCCATGGGCAGAGGTGGCCAAGGAAACCGTCATCGATATCGCCGGGGGCGGCGGCGCTCTGATCGCGCTGCTCCTGCGAGCCCATCCGACGATGAAGGGCGGCATCTACGACCTGCCGCATGTCATCGAACACACCACCCCGTTCTTCCATACCCCAGACGGGCAGTTCGCCGATCTGGGTGACCGAGTACCCCGGGCAAATCTCACCGGAGGGGACTTTTTCAAGACCATCCCCTCGTCTCGAGTGTACACAATGAAGTGGACCCTCCATGACTGGAGAGACCCAGAGGCCCTGGCTATCTTGCGCAATATTCGGAAAGCCATCATCCCCGGGGAGACCAGTCGGCTCATTGTTATGGACAGCATTAGGGCGGATGGGCGCTCTTCACGCCTGTCGCGGTATGCCGATCTGAACATGATGATCGCTGCCAACGGGCTGGAACGGACAGAAGCTGCATGGAGGCATTTGGCTAGGCAGAGTGGCTGGAGGATCGAGGGCATCTATCCCTTGCGGAATGCGTGGCCCTGCGCTATTGACATGCGGCCGGACGATGTTCAGCTGAACGGAGATTGATCCCTGACGCTTAGGCCTAGATGGCTTATTTCATGTCTACGAATTATGTGCTGGTTTGGATGGTAGAATATGTTGAGCATGTGTTTCGAGAATGGCTTGACGAGAGTACATGACAGCAACCAACTCACGACTGAGTAGCCAAATGAACGGACATAGCTCTCCGACTAGTAGCCAATGACAGATGAACAGATAGAACAACATACCTTAGTCTTAGTCTTCTTGCATATGGTCGGGCAGTGACCTCTTGGTGCAGATCATCGACAGGGATCGGCCACCGATCCCTGTCAATATCGGAGAACTTTCAAGCGCACTTTTTTCCCACCCTCGACTCGTGACACTATTCAGCCGGTTTTCGTTCTTCTGAAATGAAATTCTACTGTCTTGCATCCTGTCGTTATTCTGTCTGGCAGCCTCAACGAACCTGAGACTGCATCATGGAGGACCACGCATCGAATGATGAGAAGCATGGGCTTTCCTCACCCGTCGAAAGCGGCTCAACAGCTACTGCCCCCGAGCCCATCGGATGGCGATACTGGGTGCTTTTTATGACTCTCTGCCTCAGCGGCTTCGCTGTGACCATGGAAGGGAGTATCGTCGTCACAGCCTTGCCCAGCATCTCCCGCTCGCTCGATACCACAGAATACGCCTGGGTCACAAACAGCTACACATTGGCATCGACCATCTTCCAACCGCTCGTGGGCTGGCTGGCCGAGGTATTTGGTCGCAAACCGATCATGCTGGGCAGCATCGTCTTCTTCGCTGTCGGGAGCGCCGTCGCCGGGGCCGCGCACTCCCTGGCGACAATTCTGGTCGGACGATTGATACAAGGAATCGGAGGCGGTGCTATCCCCCTGGTGGCCGAGCTGGTCATTAGCGATATCGTACCGCTGCCACAGCGGCCGAAGATGCTGGGCATGGTGATGGCCACCTCGTGCCTGGGCCTACTGTTCGGTCCAGTCTTTGGCGGAGTGATCGTCGACCACAGTACCTGGCGCTGGATCTTCTGGATGAATCTGCCCCTTGCGGGTGCCTCCATTGTCTGCTTGTTCCCCATGCTTGCACGACGGACAGCAGAACAGCGAGATGCAGTGACCTCCCTGCGAGCCACTGCGCGCCGATTCGACTGGCTGGGTAATTTCCTGCTCCCTGCCGCCAGTATCGCCATCCTCCTGCCCCTGACGATGGGGGGCAAGATGTACCCCTGGGACTCGGGTCGAATTATCGCCCCGCTGGTGATTGGATTCTGCGGGTTTGTGGCATTCGCGGTGTATGAGCATTACTACTGTGCCCATCCACTCATCCCCCTCCGACTGCTGCGCAAGCTCTCGGCGGTCTCCCTGCAAGCACAGAATTTCATCCAGAGCATGCTCATCATGTGGGTCAACTACTTCCTCACCGTCTACTTTCAGGCCGTCCTGGAACTATCTCCACAGCGAGCAGGATTCGACCTCATGCCCACGATCGTCGGCATGGTAGTCTTCTCCATCGTCGGCGGTATAGTGATGTCCATGCTCCGCGGTCCGCTGGCAATCCTCATCAACGTGCTCGCCTTTGCCCTCATGGCTGTCGGCCTCGGTGTGTTCACCACGCTCTCGGCCTCTTCGTCGACGGCCGTCCACGCTGTGCTCCAGATTGTCGTCGCCGCAGGGAATGGACTGCTGCTCGCGACGCTGTTGCCCGGCCTGCAGGCGCTGTTTGACCCGGCGGATCTGACCGCCGTGACTGCACTCTTTAATTTCATCCGTAGCTTTGCGCTCGTCTGGGGAATGACCATCCCGTCTATCATTTTCGACCAGACAGTGAACAACAACCTGGATGGCGTGCCGGTGGCGGAGCGCGGGATGCTGCAGGACGGAGGAGCGTATGTCAGGGCTAGCAAGTCGTTTGTGCAATCATTCCAGGGAGAGACCAAGAACCAAGTAATCGCTCTATATGAAACTGGGCTTCGTGCGACGTGGTGGGGAGCAATGGCGTTTGCACTGTTAGGACTGGTGCTGGTAGCTCTGCAGCGGCCTCCTAAGAGCAGTCAGGACACGCCAGAGACGAGTCCGGAACGGGACGCAGAGAAGGCTGTCGATGCAGAATCATGATGTATACTCCAGTGTTAGTCCTGTAGCCACCACTCTCACTCCGCTCCAATACACAAAAGTAAGCCATGCTGTTGTCTGGAGCCGAGCAATAGTCGGTCACCGAGGCGACCGGCTTTCCTCATACTTAATCTAGACCAAGCAACGCAATAGAGATGTCAGTTGTCTCTCATCACACGATAAGAGGTTAATCCACTCAGCACATCTAGAGCAGACATGGCAATCGAAACTATGACCACTCAATCCCAGCAGAACAATGGCGAAGTCGTCATTGGTGATGCCCCAGCCGACGACCGTGTCGTCCTCTACATCATCAAAGGCAGGACATACGATCAAACATGAAATAAAAAGGCTGACCGGCCAATTGCAGCGGACGAAACCTCCTACATCAACTATATCAAGCCCCTGATCCTAGCAAAAGAGCTCCAGATCCCGCACGTTCTCGCGCTCATCGACACCACTTCCCAATGGGCCTACAAAATCCACCCGGAGCGAATGGTCCCCGCGCTCAAGGACCAGGATCCCGAAACAGGCGAACAGATCAATGTCTTCGAGGGAACCGCCTGTCTGCAGTACCTGGCCGATCGATACGATGCCGAGGGAGCATGGAAAGGACGTACCGCCGCGGAGAGAGCCGCCGTCTTCACCTGGGTGGCATACCAGACCGCGGGAATCGGGTGAGTATACGCACTAGCAACAACAGATATGACGAGTGGCTGAGGGTGCACAGTCCCACGGCCAAATACTGGCTCTATTTCCTTCGCGGGTATCCGACTCGCAAGGACCCCGTCCAGCTGCCCAAGACCATTGCGAAACTGCACGAAAACACGCTGAAGCAGTGGGACATTTTGAATAAGCGCCTTGCTAAGGAGGGACAGAACTACATTGCCCTCCCGGATCGGCCGACCCTGGCGGACCTGTCCTACTTTCCCTTCGCCATGCCGTGGATGTTTACGTTCCTCGGCGTGGATATTAAGGACTGGCCGCATATTCAGGCGTGGGCTGAGCGGATGCTCGCCCGCCCGGCTATCCAGGAGATTATGGCCAGAGCAAAGACGTTTGGGCATGATATGACGCAGGAGCGGGCGGCTATGCTAAAGTCTGCCGAATAGGTGAGCTGGGAGGAGACTGATGAGAATCGTGCCACCCAGTGGAATCGGCAGCCGGACAGGTAACGGGGACCGATGAGTGTATGTATTTAGCATATAAGTGCAAGCGTAGTGAACACGAATATGGTCTATCTCTTGAGCAGCACGAAAAAGTATCTTCAGTCACAATCTCCCAACCATGGCAACATACACCTCCATCATGCGGTTCATCGAACCCTGGTCCCAGAATAAGGAAATACCCTTCATCAGGACCAACGCACCCCCTGGATACGACTACATGAACTTCAAATGGGTTGATTGTCCTGTTCACATCACGGATGCACGGCCGACAAAGGACAGCTTCACCCTTGACCAGCATGGATTCGCCTACAGGGACGACCCGGAAGGCGCAACGCCGGAGATACTGCAGCTTCTCCGCGACAACAACGACGCAGAGAAGATCCGCAAGGTGTACTACTCGCACATTGAGCAGCTCGTCAAGAGAGAGACCGGTGCCTCCCGGGTGATCATCTTCGACCATACCTCGCGCAAACGGCGTCCGGAATTGGGCACGTATGAGAATCCAACAGGAAAGGAGCAGCCGGCAACGATGGTAGGTTTGCCTCTTACCTGTTCCCAATGATGGGTTACTGACACTGTGACCCCAAGGTGCACTGTGACCAGTGAGTGTAAACAAGGGGACTGGTAGAGCGCAACCTGACTGAGGTGGATATAGATCAACCAAAGGCGCCCTCCGCCGACTGCAGCAGAATGTCCCCGATCATATGGAGGCCCTTAAGAACCGGGTGATAATGATCAAGTAAGTCTCCCGTGACAAGCGACAAGGAATAGAACCACGGCCCTGATACGAACTCGCCGGCAGTATCTGGCGTCCTCTCCGCGGCCCCGTCGAGGATTGGCCTCTCGCCACCATGGACTATCGCACTTGTGATCCAGACCTGATCTATCCGACGGATCTGCTCGACAAAGCCGACGACTATCGCGGCCAGACGGTCACGTTCGGCCACGCGGATGAGCAGCGGTGGTACTACTTGGACCATCAGCGGACGGACGAGGTGACCATGATTAAGATCTGGGATAACCAGGAGGGGGTTGAAGCTAAGCGTACGTCTCTGACTGACTGGCCGGAGAAAGCAGCATCGAGCGCTGATTCGGTCGTTACAGTGTGCCCTCATGCAGCGTTCAAGCACCCAGAGACGCCTGCGGATGCGCCGCCCCGCGAAAGCATCGAGGTGCGGTGTTTTGCTTTGTTTGATGAAAAGGCAGATGGACCTCGAAATGTGTAACCTGTTTCGGTGGCCGGTCGGTCCGCTGGCGCTGCCTCTGAAGTTATATGTAGACTGAGTGGGTGAGATAGTGATGTCGAGTACTTACCATGTCCATCAACTATCAATAGCTGGCCATGAATACTGAAAAGAACTCCTGGAATGAACCACAGATTCGTACTCTCCGGTCGACTCAGAGGCCCGGTTGGATGAAATTGCTGGCTGTAACTGTTTTACTTGCTCTTGTCTTTGGGTTCAAAATCATCTTTACAGAGGGAGCCTGCTTACGGCAGTCACCAAGCGTAGAAGACGTCCTTCGTCAGGCTCCTTTGATAGGTAAAGTAAACCCAGCGAGATGTGTTACTTTACCCTTGGAGTGGTTGCTAACCAGTGTAGACGGGCATAATGACTTTCCGATCTGGATCCGAGCGTTCTACCAGAATCACATCTATCAGGAAAACTTCACGTACGACGGCCCACTCTTCGGACAGGTTGATTTCCCCCGCCTTGCTCAGGGCCGTCTGGGAGGCCAATTCTGGAGTGTTTATGTGGAATGGTAGAGTTTATACCCCTCCCTTAGCAAGTAAAGGGCTGATAACAAGACGGGCAGCCCCAAGACAGCCAACGAGTATTCTGACGAGACCTATTTCGAAATCCAACGAGACACACTGCAACAAATTGACCTGGTCAATCGGCTAGTCCGCGCCAACCCCGATATGCTGGAACTGGTCCACTCCAGCACCGACGTGTGGGAGACATTCAGCAATCGGCCGACTCGCATCGCCAGCGTCATGGGCATCGAGGGCATCCACCAGATCGCCAACAGCGCCAGCATCCTCCGTCTATACCACAGGTTAGGCGTACGCTATGCCACACTGACACACGAATGCCACAACGCCTTCGCCGACAGCGCCACCCCGGCCCGACCACTCCATGGCGGGCTGTCCGACGCAGGACGCACCCTCGTCGGCGAGATGAACCGCCTGGGAATGATTGTGGATCTGGCGCACGTCAGCTACGAGACGATGCTCGCGGCCCTGGACGTGACAACCGCACCCGTCATCTTCTCGCACTCTTCTGCCTATGCATTGTGCCCTCATCCGCGGAACGTGCCGGACGACGTACTCTGGAAAGTGAAAGGGAACGATGGAGTCGTCATGGTGAGCTTCTACGCGTCCTACACACGGTGTGATGATCCGGATCAGGCTACCATTGAGGATGTCGCCGACCATATCCAGTACATTGGCGAGTTGATCGGCTACCGGCATGTCGGACTGGGGTCGGATTTTGATGGAATGCCGGCGGGGATCAGGGGGCTGGAGGATGTCAGCAAGTATCCGGATCTCATCGGCCTCCTGCTTCGTCGGGGAGTCGGCGTGAAGGAGCTGGCTGGAGTAGTTGGGGGCAATGTGCTGCGGGTTTTACGGGCAGTGGAGGACGAGGCTGCATCGCGGGCTGACGAACTGCCTCTCGAGGATGATGTGAAGCCATTCTTCTCTTAGATATGATAGTAGTCTACTTCGAACTCTCCTATAGCCTCTTTCTCTCCTTCAACCAACACATCAACGGTGTCTTGACAAACATGACATAGATCTCCTGATTAGCAGCCCAATCTCGACTCTCCGGTGCCAGCTGGACGTCAAAATTCCACACCAGGCGAGCAATTACACTCCTCGCCACAGCCAGCGCCATGCTCTTCCCCAGGCAATTTCTCGGCCCAGTAGAGAACGGCTGATGCGCCTTCTTGTCGTCCCGTGCAAACCGGGGATCAGGTTCCGCCAACCACCGCTCCGGATGGAACTCGCTCGCGCGCGCAAAGTTCTTCTCACTCAGCGCGGCCGCATATCCATTCATACCCACGGCGTAGTCACCGGGGACGAAGCGGCCACAGATCGTGGCGCCCTTTGGGGGAGTCCGCCGGGGGAACGTCGTGGGGACGACGACGTACACGCGCAGAGCTTCTTCAATGACGGCGTTGAGGAAGGGTAGCTTCTGGAGACGGGTGAAGGTCATCTCGGACTCTTGTGTGACAGAACCGCAAATCTCGTCTGTCAGCCGGGACCAGATCTTGGGATCTCGTAGCGCATAGTAGAGACAGCCACACAGGAGGGTGGCGTTTGTGTCGCTGCCGGCTGTCATGAAGATGGAGGAGGCGATCTCCAGCTCGGGAATTGTCATGCCGTCTTTTTCGGAGTTTTCGCGCAGGAGGTGGGTGACTGGAATGACAACAGAATTAGTATTATGTGTCTGGATTGATATGTGATAAAGACGTACCAAAATCCTCTCTTCCTGGTCCAGCAGCGATACGCTCGCGGGCCATTCGCGTAGTCACCTGGAACTGTTCCATCCAGACCCGTCCAATGCGAGCCAACACCAGATTCACAAGAGCGTTTCGTGATATCAAGGCAGGCAGACGGCGCCAGGCTTGGACATACAACCCCTGCTTGACATGGCCGCTGATCAACCGGACCCAAGGGTGCAGCTCTCCATTGACCGTGTTCTCCAGGCACCCGACGGACTTGCCAAAGGACAGGTCTAAGATCACGTCCATGGCCGTACTGGTGAACCAGGGCACCATATCAATCGGTTGGTCGGTGGGAAGCTCGCGAAGACGGCGCATAAGAAGGTCAACATAGGAGTTGATGAGTGGTTCCTGGCGGGCCAACGCCCTGTCGGAGAAGGCATGGACCATGATTCCCCTCAATCGACTATGATCTTTGTTCTCTGCAGTGACCTGCCAGAGCCATTCAGCAGGCGAATTCGAATTAGCGGGACGGACGGACACCTACAATGACAGGCACGGAATTGATCGATTGGGAATACCAAGTCTTGTCTTTCTCCAACCCGCTGCGCAGATCGTTGTCTCGCCATACTGCAGCCAGGGGTTAGTTGCATGCTTTCGGCCCCGGAAGTTAAGCCATACCATGAACATCGTGATAGGCACGACTCGAATTGTAAGACAGCTCATCCGGAGCCACGCGGACCACCTCGCCATAAGTGTTGTGCCAGTCCAGAGTCTTGTATGGAAGATCGCCAGCCAGCTGGTGATAGACATAATGCAACCGTGTGGCGCGGCCGAGCCATGGACCTGGATATGACGCCAGGGGATGAAAGAAGAGGTTGTAGATGCATTTCCCGATGAAGAAAACGATCTAGATAATCCATCAATCGCCAATTGACACGGATGAAGAGCTTCCATATACTTACTCCGGCGATGAGGCTACTCCCGGCAGCAACCATCAAGCCATTGAGGCTCCAAAATGTAAAGGGAATCGACATGGCGCTTGCTTATGCTCTAGAGTCTTTTTTCATTATTATGCTAGGACAGTTATATTCGCTTTCGTTTAGGTTATTATAGTGAGCTGGCTAACATCGGCCACCGACAGCGGCCAAGGCAGGACTATTTCCTATTCGGACTCCGTGAATAGCATCTCCATGGCTTGTTATAATGTGATATCCCTGTCTATTCTATTTGCGGAGAACCTGAATCAAAGAGAATTAGGGCAATATGGGTTCAGAGGAAAAGACGTCCAGCATTTTCCACCGGATTATCTCCTACTGTCGCCTCCATGACCCGTCCATGACAACCGCAAATGCATGGATCAACGATGACATTCGCCCACTGCCACCCTCTCGCCGACGATGGAGCGGTATGACATACCTGGGGTGGTGGGCCATCTGGATGATGGGATTGAGTAACTTCCAGCTGGGCTCGTCCTTGGTGGCCATCGGTCTTTCTGTCTGGCAGGCGATGGTGGCCATCATCCTCGGCCGCATTCTGATCGCCACCGTTGCCATCTTGAATGGAGCAGTCGGCTCGCGATGGCACATTGGCTTTCCCGTCTTTTCGCGCATCGTCTGGGGAATGAGAGTCAGTACAGCAATCCAACCGAGCCTAACGAACAGAACCAACTGATGTCTCGCAGGGTTCATATGGCGCAATCCTCCTCCGCATTCTCCTGGGTCTCGTTGGATTTGCGGTGCAGTCCTGGAACGGGGGGCTATGCGTTACTGCCGTCCTCAGCGCCATTTTCCCTTCATACCTGCATCTCCGTAACACCATCCCGGAGTCTTCCCATGTCACTACCGCCCAGATGGTGAGCTGGATCGTCTTCCTTGCCCTCTGCGTTCCGCTCATCTACGTGCGCCCTGAGCGCGCCCCCAAGGCCATGGCGGTGATGAATCTCCTGACGCTGATCACGATTCTCGCGATCCTGATCTGGGCTCTGGCCACCGCGCATGGAGCTGGACCGTTGCTCTCGCAGCCCGGTATGCCGATGACATCTTCCCAATTGGGCTGGTCAATGCTTGGAGGAATCAATGCAGTGATTGGCACAGTCGCGCCAGCTTTAAGTACGTCTTTATCATTTCGAGAGATCAAGGATTCGGTCGCTGACACAAAGCCTTAAAGTGAGCCAGCCTGACTTTTCCCGCTTTGCTCGACGAGAGCGCGACCAGATCTGGGGACAGGCCGTGGCGTTCATCCTAGTCGGCACCGTCATGCCGCTCTTCGGCTGTCTCGTGTCCTCCGCAACGCAGCAGATCTATGGCGAAGCCATCTGGAACCCGCCGGTCCTCATCCTCACCTGGTTGACCAACGGCCAGTACCGCTCCTCAACGAGAGCCGCGGCCGCCTTTGCCGGACTGGGCCTGACGATCAGCCAACTGGCGGTGGTGGTCGTTGATAATGCATACTCGGTGGGAATCGATCTTTGCGGATTGTTCCCGGCGTTCCTGAACATCCGGCGCGGAGCGTATCTGGGCCTGGCGCTGGGAATGGCGTTTTGTCCCTGGGAACTGCTCTCCACCGCGTCGATCTTCCTCACGGTGATCTCCGGGTTCACCGTATTCTTCGGGCCCATCTGCGGGATCCAGATCGCCGACTACTGGGTACTACGGCGGCAGCGCATCAAACTCTCTGATCTCTACAGTATCAAGCGCGAGGGGGTGTACTACTATGTCTACGGGGTGAACTGGCGGGCGTTCGTGGCGTGGGCTGTGGGCTTCGCGCCGCTCATGCCTGGCTTTATACATGCGGTGCAGCCTCGGATTACCCTGAAAACCGACGTGGGGTATCTCTACCAGATCGCCTTTGTGTTGGGGTTCTGTATCAGCTTTCTGACGCATTGCGCTCTCAATGTCGTCTTTCCGCCGCGGGGGCTTGGTGAGATGGACCATGATGATCGGTTTGGGACATTTACGACTACGGAGGCGCGGACGCTTGGAATCGACCCAGATATTGCATCTCCATCGGCCACTCCTGTTTCTGATAGTAACCAAGGGGAATCGGTGGATCTTGAGGGAAGCAAGGGGTGGTCGTGAGGACGCATAAACGGATAGGATGGAGATACGGTGTATTTGGAGGCACATCCTTGTGGTAGCTTATGTTAAACTTGTTAATCATATCGAGATGGTTAATTTTCCTTCATCTCGTCTTCAAAAGCCCGGTCACCGTCTCGGACCCCGATGCCATTCTTATAAGAGGAATTCGAGAATTAGAGAGACTGTTTAACCGTACATGTTCACTAAATACTGCTCTACGTCTGTCGCTCCACTCACACACCGTAATATCCATTGTAAGTCAAGTCACCATGGCGATGGAAGTTGCGATTCCGCTCCACTACCAGAAAAATGTCAACGAGACCATCTGCACCTACCGACAGCTAGGCAAAAGCGGGCTCAAGGTCTCCGTCCCCATCCTGGGGTGCATGGGATTTGGCCGGAAGGACTGGGTGTGGGACTGGGTGCTGGAGGAGGAGGAGTCGATGAAGATGCTCAAGGCCGCTTGGGACCGAGGCATCAATACCTGGGACACGGCCAATGTGTTTTCGAACGGGGACAGCGAGAGAATCATCGGCAAGGCGCTAAAGAAGTACGAGATTCCGCGGCATAAAGTGGTGATCATCACCAAAGTGTTCTGTACAGTGGGAGAGCATGCCGACAATGCCATGGCGTATGCAGGGCCTCTGAGAGGGACGAAGGAATACGTCAATCAGTCTGGTTCGCTCTCCCTCTTCCCCTGGGCAAGGCAAAATGCGCTAATTGGTTATATGCTAGGTCTTTCTCGCCAATCTATCCTTCGAAACGTCCAGGCTAGTCTCGACCGCCTGCAGACGGACTATATCGACGTTCTGATGATCCACCGCGCCGACGACAGAGTCCCATACGAGGAGACAATGGAAGCCCTCAACGACCTCGTGCGAGCGGGCAAAGTGCGCTACCTCGGGGCCAGCTCCATGTGGACCTACCAGTTTGCCCAGATGCAGTTCTGCGCGGAGCGCCACGGCTGGACCAAGTTCATCTGCATGGAGAACCACTACAGTCTGCTCTATCGTGAAGAGGAGCGCGAGATGAACAAATTCTGCAACCAGACCGGGGTGGGGATCATCCCCTGGGCCCCTCTGTGCCGGGGGTTCCTGGCCCGTCGATTGCAGCATAGTCTGTCTGGCACCACGGGAAGAGCGCAGGACGAGCTGGTGAATGGGTCGCGGTATATCGGTGTGCGCGAGGACCCCGATTACGAGATTATCCGCCGGGTAGAGGAGCTGGCCGATCGGAAGGGCTGGACGATGGTCGATGTAGCGCTGGCCTGGCTGAACAAGCGGGTGACCAGTCCGGTGGTGGGCATGCGGTTGGAGAGCATGCTCGACGAGGTGGCTGCGGCCTGTAAGAAGACTTTGACCGCGGAAGAGGAGAAGTATCTGGAGGAATTGTACCAGCCCAGGGCGACTTCAGGGCATGCCTAGATTAATTGGTGGTCTACAGGAGATAGATATGTTGAAGACAACGAGTTCAATTCGAGCAAGGAAGAATAGAATCACGATCAGCTTAGATACCTGCAGGGAGCTCGCGTGCGACCCCATTTCCTGCACACACTCCTGCCGCAATGGCCATGGAAGCATTTTTGAACGGAGAGGCACAATCCCCAGCAGCATAGACACCAGGGACGCTGGTGGCCGGGAAGGGATGCTCCACGCGGATATCGCCCATGGGTGTTGTCTCGACTCCCAGCTGGGCAGGCAGATTTCCTCGCAGCCGAGTCCATGGCTGATGCACGAGGAATCCCTCCTTCCTCTCATCTCCACCCTCCAATTCGACCGTGACTTCGGCTCTCTCTTGCCCTTTGCGTAGACGCTGGATGCTCCGAGCTTCGATCGCCAGGTAATCGACCCCGTTGGTGAGTTCCTGGAGCTGCGCCGTCACTTTCTCGTCTCCATTGGTATACAGAACAACCTGACGAGCGAACTTGCGTGTATCGCCGGCCAGTTTAACCACCTGGGGCAACACTGAGGCCAGTTTATCCACGACCAGGATACCCGCGGACGCGCAGCCTCGCTCTTCGTACCCGAACTGGAACATGCACGGAAAGATCCCCGTCACCCAGCAGTCCTGGTAGCCGGGAATATCAGGATAGATCTCGTCCGTCCCCGTTGCGAGCACCACCTTTCGACCGTGGTATTCTTGCCCATCGTTAGCTGTCACCCGCCACTCGTAGTCCTGTCCCTCCTGCCTTTCAATTGTGGTCACTTGCGCATCGATGAAGGAGCAGAGACCGGTGTTTTCCAGCTCTGCACGGGCTTTTTGTCTGTACTTTGAGGATTCAGTACCATCCCAGGCTGGCAGCAGTCGAACGTGCGGTGCCTTGTCGTCTCGAAACAGGCCCGAATCAAAGACGATGGTGGAGTGGGTGGCCCGGTAGAGAGTGGACGCTGCAGCCAAGCCAGCATATCCTCCCCCGATAATGAGGACGTCGGCCGTAGTTTTAGGGGAAGGCATCCTGAGTGATTAGACTGATTGATGATGTTCGTGATAGGATAGTCCGCTTGTTGTGTTTCTGTTATGGAACTATGTATAGGACGTATTTATATCCTCATCTCGGCTCTCCGCATCGGCCCCCGAACAGCATGGACCGACCACGACAAGCATATATCATGAACTACAAGCCATCAAGGATGATCCTTATGAAGGCGTACATATTTTGAGACTATCTAATCCTCCATCAGCGACAGCCATAAACCCTGCCAACGACACTCTCCATTCGGCCAAAATGTACGATGAGCGCAATGCCATGCTGACCCCAGCCGATGGCTCCATTGTGCCGCATCTTCTTCTCTTCCTCGTGCAGATGGCAGCGTTGGCCTCGCCTCCTTTCCCATACCGCAGGACTGTATTTTCCAGCGCCATCGTCATCCTCGCCGTCCTTGCGAACATCAACCGCTTCACAGATGATCCAAAGCTGGCGCAATTCTTCTCCCTCGCCTGGCCCCATTACCTCAATGTGTTGGAAAAGCTGCTCACCTCCCCCAGTCCCGGCCCAGAAGCCGCGTTTTGGCGAGTGGATCGCCCGGCACGCGAAGCTCTGAGCTTCGTGCCCTTTGGTTTCTCCAAGCTCGTCTGGGCGTTTGTGATTTGGTTCAATCTGCGAGGCATTCGGTGGAACTATCAGGTGGCAAACATCCCAGCGGAACCTCTTGGGAGGAGTCCAGGGAAGTGGCGCTTTCTGGTAGATTGTGTGCTGACCTTCATCCGGCTGCTCTGCATGGCCGACGTGCTGAGCCAGCTGGCCATCCACAACTTCTATACAACGGCCGACGGAGGGCCCGTCGACAGCCGCACGCTGACCACACGCCATCCCGACTTTGCCTGCCAGTTGTACCGGACCGCGACGGTGGGGATGATCCCATACACGTTCATGAATCTGCAGTATGTCGGAGGAGCAATCCTCTGGGTTTTACTGGGAATCAGCCAACCGGCCGACTGGCCGCCTTTCTTCGGCCGCCTGTCGCAGGTTACGACGGTTCGGGCTTTCTGGGGGAAATACTGGCACCAGATGATTCGACGAGTAAGTAGTCTTTTCTGCCAAATACAGACACGGACTGATGGTGAAAGACGGTGAATATCTATACAGGATTTTTCTGTGATTTGCTGCGTCTCCGACCCGGAACTATTCGCACGTACATTCGTCTCTGGCTCTCCTTTGCCATCAGCGGCGTGATGCACTGGGCTGCTATCTACATCATCCCAGCGCCTTTGAACCTCAGCTTCAGCGAGCGCAGTGTAGGCTTTGTGAAATTCTTCCTTCTGCAGGCGGCGGCCATCACCTTCGAAGATTTCATCCAGTTTCTGTATCAGCGGATAGCCCCGGGGATGGCTGCCACCCCCCGATGGTGGCATCGGTGGCTTGGACATGCGTGGGCGGTGTCTTGGTTTTGTTTCTCGCTGCCTTTCTTCCTGGATATCATGCTGAAGATGAAGAACCTGGAGGAACCTCTTCTCCCCGGCAGTGTGATGAGGCCATTGGTGCCGTATCTGGCGGCGTGTGCCATTTGAACAAATGATCAATCGGTTCTAGGGAGATGTTTGATAGCATGTAGTCCTTGAGATTTCCTGTCTAGGCGCGATTTAGATTTAGACCATTTTCCTTTCTCTCCGACAGCTTCATCCGCACTCCCTTGGACCCTGCCTGGACCGCGCCCATCAGATTATCCCGCATGATATCCACGTCCTCCCTCGTAGTCTCGAACAGCTCCATGTCATAACGCAGTATCAAGGCAGCCAAGGCGCGGTAGATGAGAGCCTTGGCAAGACTAGACGCGAAACCGTCAGAAAGTCTCAAATTATCGTGTCGAAGGGTCCATACTTGATACCAATACACATCCGACTCCCCCGACCAAACGGCAGCAGATAGCGGTCCAATGGGCTTCCCGCCGCTGCAGCCGCGGCCCAGCGGTCTGGATCAAATCGTTTCGGATTAGGGAAGATAGAGGGATCCAAATGCGTGAAGTGATGGTCCATGCTGACCGGTGTTCCAGGGGGGATAGCCCACTCCTTGTACTGGAGAACCTCATCTGGGGCGATGCGGGCTAGTCGGCCCGTGACGGAGGACGTGACTCTCATTCCTTCCATGACGACGTGACGCTGTGGTAGATAGTCTATCAGTAAACTCCATCTTCAATGTGTCTGACCGGCACATGGAGAGCATACAAGACACGGGAGCTGCTCGAGCGCTGTCCAGGACAAATGGCCCTGATTCTCCTCCAGCTGCTTTTCCAGCTGCCCTCGGAGCTCTTGCAGGATAGAAGGATTGTCCACCAGGTGGTACAGCGTCGACGCGAGCGTCTGGGCGGTACTCTCAGTGGCCGCCATGACGAAACTGAAGCCTTCCGCCGAGAGTCGCTGTTCGCATTTTTCGCTCGCGGGAAGGGCGCTCGATCTCAACGTGCGCAGGACGGATGGCTTTTCGGATCGCATGGCTGAGGATGCTAGATTTGTAGAAGCCTTGAGACGCTTAGCTGGGTCTGTACCTTCGATACCAGCCGGGAATATAACGAACCTCCTGCAGATTGAAAATAAACGCAAAATCCGGCCTCCCCTTGACCATGGACGAAGGCAACACGCCAAACAGCAGAAACGCCTGCGGGAAGTGACGTAGAAAATGAGACCCTCCCAGGAGCGGCGGCAGCGTTTCTGTCCACGATGGGAAGAAATCCCAACGTCTCGTCTGGCCGGGTGACGCCCCAAACCAGATCTGCAGGACCACGTCCACAGTGAGACTGGCAAAGACCGTTCCCAGAACGACGGGGGTCCCTTGACGGGCATATTCGTCAAGCGACTCGCACATGGCTGAGATCGCGGGCTCAATCAACGTGGCCTCATGGCTGAGGATCGACTGCTTGGAGAAACTGGGGGAAAGGGTCGAGCGGCGCTGGCGATGGACATGATGATGCACGGTAGCGGAACTGGTGGCATCGGTGCCCTCTGATAGAAACCAGGCGTACTTGTCGCGTTTGCGGTTCCCCGGCGGATAGAGCTCGCTGTACCAGTCTGGATCCTTGACGTGAAGCTCGTGCGGACTGATGCGCACGATGGGCCCGTAGACTGAGTGCAGACGGTCAATCTCCTTGAAGTATTGGCCTCCCTTTTCGGCGGATGAGGATTAGCAGCCGAGGAAAACGTCGATTGTAAAAGAAGTACTCACCAGAAACACGTCGAAATAGCATTCGTACCAGAGCGTAAGAGCCGCCAATCTTGGACCGGGGAATCGGGCCAAAGGGTGGAAATAGAGCCGCCAGATGGCCAGACCCAGCAGATACACACCGTAGAGCCCAGCGGCAAGAGTCAATAGCTCCAGGCCAGTGAATCCCAACATTGTGATCGTCAAGACGAATCAATCGACCTGCTTTGGATAATCACCCTTGATGTTCTCCATCTCTTCTTGCATGGTTGTCTGCATACATACATGCGCCATACGGAATCGGTCGCCGAGGCGGATGCCGAATACAGGCAAACCACAAGATGGAGTTGAATAGATCATGGACACAAAATCAATTACTGTCTCGACCATAGCCGAATACACAGCTTTTGACTCTGCTCCATCTTGAAACTATACCCATCATGCCTGTCACCAAGTCACAGATCCTGGAGCAGGTCCACCAGATCCAGACCATTGCCCAGTCCATGGTCGAGAAATGGGACGAGAGGAAAACCACAGGCTCAAGCTCGGAATGGAGCGTGTCTGCCGTGCAGCTCCAACAGGCAGCAGAGGAGCTGATCTCTTTGACAGCCTCCCCACGATCGGTTGTGCGCACCCTCCAGCTCGCCCACTATGATCTGGTCGCATATCAAGTGGCCTTGGAGTTCGACCTGTTCACAGCCATTCCAGCAGATGGAGAACTATCCCTGACACAGGTGGCGGAAAAAGCTGGAATCGACGAAGACCGAGTAGCCCGTGTGCTGCGTCTCCTGGCTCTTCACGGGATGTTCCAAGAAACGCGGGAAGATACTTTTGCCCATACGCCGGTTTCCCGATTCATCGCGGAGAATGAGTCTATCAGAGCGGCGCTGGGGATACAGTAAGTTTAGACAACCCAAATAACTGAATGTGACATGGTGGGATTGTGGCACTGATCTCTCGGCTTATATTGCAGAATGGACGAAATGTATCAGGCAGCCTCCAGCACAGCCGATGCGATCCGCAAGAATCCACGTACTCAGGATGTGAATACCTCTCCATTCGCGACGAGATTCGGAGTGTCAATCTACGACTTCTACACACAGTATAAGAGCAAGGCGGATCGGTTTGGCCGGGGCATGAATGGAGCATCTTCGCGTGAGTGGCTCATCTGGAGCGGACGAACAAACTGATTGACATCGTGTCCCTCGTGCAGTGGACGACGAAAGTCTGATCAGTCTCCGTGACTGCTACAACTGGGCGGCCTTTGCCGGTGGAAAGATCGTCGACGTTGGGGGTGGAATGGGCCATGTCTCCATATTTCTGGCCAACGTGAGAGTCTTCTCTATCTGACCCGGCAGCCATGCGATACTGACAGACGCAGCACTTCCCCAATCTCTCCTTCGTCGTGCAGGATATCCTCGTCCCTCCGGGAATCAATGGCCAGGATAAAAAACTGGCGGATAATGTGGAATTTCAGCAACACGACTTTTTCCAACCGCAGCCCGTCACCGATGCCCGAGCGTATCTGCTCAAACACGCACTGCATAACCACAGCGACGAGGATTGCGTCAAGGTCCTGGCGGCGCTGGTTCCAGCTCTGGAGGCGGCGGGACCAAAGGCTGCCTTGCTCATCAATGAAGGTGTTTTACCGGATTACGGGCAGGCAATGTCCCGCGATCAGCATTTGACCCTGAGACGGGGGGATATGTGTATGATGGTGACGCTTTCTGCCAAGGAGAGAACGAGGAAGCAGTTCCAGGATCTTCTTCGGGCAGCCGATCCTCGATTAAAGGTAGGAGAGGACTATCGTTTTCGAGCTGATGAAAGATAGACGGCTAACTGATGCTCGCCAGATACACGATGTTTATGGGAATGCAGTCACCAGATTGATCGAGGTGTATTTGGCTGCAAGTGAATAGCTCCAGGGGCTAGGGACCTTAGTCTAGAATGATCTCCAAGAATTTATATCTCCTCGCAGGTTTCATCCGTAAAATGACCCGAGTAAGCATTTCTCAGAAACAGACTTCGCTGTTCATTTGTACCTCCTTGACGAAGGATATCCCGTGAATAAATCACAACGAACAGGCATATTTCATCGATTGAAGCTACTGAAAGGATGCTATGGAACACAGATCCAATCCCCTCAGCTCCGTCCCTTGCTGACATCTCTTCTGCGAAAAAGGACCTTAGCATCATGAGGTGGCGACACCGTTCCCCCCACATGTACATTCTCCGGCCTGGTGGCGCCATCCTCAAGGCGAATATCATAGTTCTGGAGCAAAAACGCCATGATCACCTTGATCTCGCTCGCCGCAAAGAACCGACCTGGACATGCATGCGTGCCGTGGCCGAAGGGGATATGATCGGTGCCCGTGGCAACCAGCTGATGCAACGTCGCCTGACCGGGCTGCTCGCGCATCCTGTAGAAACGAAAGGCGTCGAATTTGTCCGCCTCGGGGTACGACCGCGTCACTTCATGCGCGGAGATGCCCACCACGCTGCCGGACGGGATGACATGCCCGGTGGACAAGTGCAGCCCTTCGGGGGCAGTCACGCGGCGAAGCATGGAGACCAGACCGGGAGGATTCATGCGCTGGCTTTCGCGGACGAAGCTGTCCATCTTGCGTAGCTTGACCATGGACTCTTTGTGAAGGCGGCCGTCGTGGGCGCCGTCTGTAGCGAGGACCTGGTCTAGTTCCTCCCGTAGCGGCGCGAGATATTCTGGTCGGGCGGCGAGGTCGAAGATCGCCTGGGTGACGCAGATGGTCGTCGTGTGCATGGCTACAAACGTGGCAATGAGCTGGTCTCGCGCAAGCCGCTCGATAGTAGCCTGGCCCTTGTAGTGGCCCAGAATGTACCGCATCAGGTCACCTCCCGTGTCCTCACTTCGGCCACTGGCCGCTGAACTGCTGGGGTGACCTGCGGTGAATTTGTCCAGGATTGGCTGGAGCATGCGCCGTGCAATAGCTCGATGCTGCTTCAGCCGCTTCAGCATGAAGGGGGCCACGAGCGGCCGGATGAGAGGCGGATACGGGGATAGGGAATGAGCTTCATGCCCGGCGTCCATGGAATACTGCATCGTGACTCGAGTCCATTCTTCATCTCGGCTCAGTGGCAGGCCAACAAACACGCGAGAGCTGAGTAGGCAGACAATTCCCAAGAGAGCATCGTAGAGCGGGACTGGTGTCCAGTCTTTACAGTGGCCTACATGCTTTTGGTAGGCGTATTCCACCTCTTCCTGGAAGTTTGCCAAGTTCTGTTCCAGATGGCGGGTGAGGTCCACCCGGATTGCCGTGTCGAGCTCGTCACAAGGCTCTCCAAAACCGGTGTACTTTCCAAGGAAGATAGTGTAATGATGTTGCCTGTAACCAGATATTAGTTTGTCAAGATCGAGACAAAAACAGTCATGACCTACCGAAGAGAAATAATGTCTTCTGGCAGAGCCTTGATCTCGTTGATTGCGGATATAGGGAGAATGACTGTCGGGTGCATGGGCGTAGCTAGAACAAAGGGAGACTTGGGATACTTCTTTGCACCCTCTTCAAGAGCCGGCCGGAAATCAGTCTGCGTGACATCCCCAAGGACCGGGAAATCCAGCTTTGGCGTCTTGGGGCCTCGCCATTGGAGCACAACGAAGGCTACGAGGACCAGAAAAACAGCGACGACGCTGGATTTGACTAATAGAGGATTCTCCTCCAGGACTTGCGCTTGGAATGTCTGAAGAAACTCCATTTTGGAACAAGGGATGAAGTGTTCAATGCCCGTAACCACAGAATAGAACGCTCAAGGTGGGCTATTTTACCTTCCTCAGACTGGCCATGTGGCTCGGAGCTGCCAGGGCAAGTCGGCAGCCGCCATCGGGCCGATCTGCCTGCAATGGCAAGGAAGTGAGCCCTGGAAGAAACACAGGTCAAGTCGTACACAGGACTGGAACTGCCCAAGAAGTATCTGAACAGCCAGTGTATAAAGCTCTTCACGCTTAAGGCTTTACCATGGGGTTAACTTCCCCTGCAAAGCACCACAAGGACAATGAGTACATTCAATATTGCCTGGATAGAGGCCGTAAACGGGGCCAACAGCCATCCCAGGCTGTCGATCGATGATCTCTGGCAGGGGTGTGTTCTGCTTGCCCGTTCCCCTCAGCTATTCACCAGTGCCATTTCCGCCTGTGATATCCCCCCAATTGCCAGCGACAGATTTACCCGGACTCTACACTTTCACCAAGGCGCCGTGGACAAAATGGAGCAGGAAGTTACGCTAGTGGACAGACACAAGGTACTTATCTCTACTCTGGTCCCTATTTTCCCCTGACCGAAAGGCAGTTCGAATGTACCACCATAGGCACCGGCAACCGGGTCACTACGATGATTTTTCACGGTGTCTCTGAGACCCCGGAGGATCTTTACCTGTCCTTGGAGTATAGCATACCGTACGGGAAGGTCAGTCTGGAGGGGGAGGAGGGGGAAAAGTTTCGGGAAATGTATCGTTTGAAGGCCAAGGAGAATCTGGTGACGGGGCTGGCCACTATGCGAGATCTCAAGTCTCAGGGAAAGTTGGCATAGAATGTGATCTCTCTCTCTGCCCGTCTTGAACAAGCCTTGCTTTCCGTTGATCCGTTGATCTGTACTGCCATGCCGCTGCTGCTGTAAGGAGATTCGTCATTGTAGCTGCGCAACAAGCCATGTAACGTAGTCTCCGACCAGGTATCCTCGGTGACCGGTAGAACGACCCACAATAGAATTGCAGATGGATCTCTGTCACTGTGGGCTGCTGCCATCGGGTCTGGGCATACGCAGTGTTCTTGCCTGCCCTCGTATCGTACAAAACCCGCCATGTGTAGCAGGAATTTCGACAGATACAAGTTGGTTCATACTACCGTGGACTGATCGATTACACTTTTTCTGCAATGAGTACAGAAACCACCGTATCAGAGGCAATGGAGCCATCATATCAGCCCTCGTCGCGGTTGCTGGAGCTGATTGCCAGTGTCCTCAGTATACCATGCTCGAACCTCGACGCAGCGAGAACGTTCACCGGAATGGGAGGCAATTCGCTTCTTGCCATTCGGTTGTCGGCAGATTGCCGTCAAGCAGGCATTGCACTTTCGGTGGAAACAATCATGGGCTGTGACAATATTGAGCAGCTCATGGGTCTGGCCGGGCGTGTCGTCGATCAATCGGACAGCTGCACCGCCACCACGCCCATCCAAGCCCACGATCACAATAGCATGCCCGGTAAAAAGACCATTCCAGGACCCCCCCTGACAGAGATTCAACTAGCCTTGATTCATGGCACGCAGCGCCATCCCACCCGGAACATCATCAGCTATTTCGAGACCTATCCGTCGGAGCAGCTTCCCATCCTACGTCACGCGTGGCATACAGTCGTGTCCATGGAGCCTATCTTCCGCACCAAATTCGACCTGCGAGATGGCAGTCATCTCGTTGAGCAAGCCGAGGCCCCCTTCATCTGGAAGGAGCAGACAGTGGACTCGTGTGAGGCATATGACCGGGCCTTGCGCGAGACTCCCGCCCTCCTCCAGCTGGCGCCGGGACAGGAGTGCGAGTCCATGTGGGGAAATCGGTATGATGTAGTCACACTGGACCTCAAGGGAGGATCGGCACCTGCCCAGGGGAGTATCAGCACCATTGTCTGGCGGATCCATCACGCCCTCATCGACGGCTACTCAGCCGCGCTTGTGCTGCAAAAGGTCCGGCGAGTGGCCGCCGGTCTGGCTGTTCAACCAAGCCCTTCATTTACGACGCTGGTGGAAGAGCTCGGCCAACTACAGAGCAGCTCACAGGAGGCGGCTAAGGAGTTCTGGCAACAGCAGTATGCGCAGTATGGGTCAGCTGGCGGAGAGCTCCAAGTGCCGCCTCAGCCGAATTCCAACAAAGAAGAGGGCATCGAAGCAATCTCCTTCCAGATGCCCGGCGAGGTGCCGTCGCAGGCGCAGGCAGCTGGAGTCACCACGGCCACAATGTGCTATGCAGCGTGGGCACTGGCGCTGTCCGTCTTCATTGACTCGGAGACGGTGGTGTTTGGAGCCGTGTTGTCTGGACGCAACCTGCCGCTGGCCAATGTCGAGACGACCATCGGGCCTCTCGTCAATACCCTCCCCATCCATGTCCGACTTGACCCGACCCAAACGGTACCACAAATGCTCCAGCATGTCTTCCGACAGCTGGTGAAGCTTTGCACGTTTCAGTGGACGTTACCAGAACATGGATACGATCGGAAGTTTGCCTCAGCGCTCAGTATGCAACTGGAACCGACCAGGATTGATGTTGACGCAGCGGGTGTTCAACCTCTGACGCCTCCATACTCTCGCTCCAAGACCGACTTCCCGCTCAGCATCTTTATTGAAACCGATGGGACAGTTCGTGTGCAATACGACCGCAGCGCATTCCCCTCCAGCACGGTTGAGCTCATCTCCAGTCACTACCAGCGGGCATTCACTCTGCTGTGCGATCTCAATGTCACGGTTCAGCAGTGTCTTGACGATCTGCTCACTCCCGAGACCCGTCAAACCTTGCTCCGTTTGGGGAATTGTACGTCCCCTCTGACGTCGTTCACTGGCGTCGAGGATGATCTCGTGAGCCTGTTCATGTGGAACGTATCAGAGCATGCAAATCAACTTGCTCTTCAGCGAGGAAAGCATAGTATGACCTACGCAGAGCTCCACGAGGCCTCGAGCAAAGTTGCTCAGCGACTGCTCAAGGATATCAAACAAGGGGATACGGTATGTCTGCATGCTGACCAGTCCCTTGAGTGGATCATTGGCATCTACGGTATTCTCATTGCTGGGGGGGTATACTGTCCGCTTCACGCCAATCTGCCCCAAGACCTCCGCAATCAGTATGCGGCCACCGCAGGGGCAACACTCTTCCTCGTCCCTCGGCAGCATCAGATGCACCTCAAACCAACTGAGTGTACTTCGGCGGTCTCGGTCGAGGAATGTATGGACGGTCCAAGGCAGGACGGTCCGGCAATATCGCCATTATCCACCCGCCAACCCAACCCAGAGGCCAACGCATATATTTGCTTCACCTCTGGATCGACCGGAAAGCCAAAAGGAGTGATGTGTACACACGCCGGACTGGTTGCGTTTCAGCGGGACCGGACCGTGCGCCTGATGGCCCGTCCAGGGTGGAAGGTAGCCCAAACCATGTCCCCCGCGTTCGACGGGAGTATCCATGAGATCTTCTCGGCGCTCAGTTATGGGGCAACACTAGTGCTCCCACACTCAGCAGACCCGTTCTCCCATCTGGCCAACGTGGATTCGTGCATTCTGACTCCATCAGTGGCGAATGTTCTTGACCCAGCTCGCTTTCCGACCCTGCAGACGGTAAGCACAGCTTGGTCCGACAGAGATAGTGCCGTCGCTTTTAGGATAACACTGACATCTTTCAGGTCTATCTGGTTGGGGAGCCCGTACCCCAGGCCGTCAACGACCGATGGGCACAGCAAAAAGGTCTGTACAACATGTACGGCCCTACGGAAGGGACTGGTGGCGCGACTATCAAGAGGCTATTGCCGAAACACCCAGTGACCATCGGTCGCCCTAACCCGTCCACTCGGATCTACATTCTGAACCAGAGACAGACTCTTTTGCCGCCTGGAATCACTGGAGAGATATGGCTCGCTGGTGTGCAGGTTGCCCGGGGGTATATTGGTTTGCCCGAACAAACGGCCGATCGATTTAGACCGGATCCCATCTGTCCAGACAGGGGCGAGATGATGTATCGGACCGGCGACTATGGATACTGGGATGTCCGAACTGGCGAGATCGTGTGCCTAGGGCGCAAGGACCGCCAGATCAAGCTTCGAGGCTTCCGACTGGATCTCAATGACCTCGAAATTCGCATGCTAAAGCTGCATTCATCCACCACAGCGGTGGCCATCGCTCCAAACTGGGAGGGGAATTACCTCGTGGCCATGGTCACGCCAGCCTCTGTTGATACCGGCATGCTGGAGACACTGGCCCGGCTGAGACTTCCTCCCCACGGGCTGCCCCGATATATCATCGCTACCGACGAGTTCCCCATGACTTCCGCCGGCAAGCTCGACTACCAGTCAGTTGCCAAAGCTCTTCCCATGGCCACACCGCAGCCAACAGCGCAGCAGTCAGATAGCCCGCTCCTGTCAACAACGGAGAAGCGCGTTGCACGGTTGTGGCGAGCCGTTCTAGGGCTGGATCCAGGCAAAGCAATAACCCGCTCATCAAACTTTTTCGATCTGGGCGGCCATTCAGTGCAGCAGCTCCATCTGGCCTCGCGCCTGACAGAGGAGTTTCAGATGCGCATCCCGTTCAAGGTAGTCGTGGAGTGCCCGACGGTCCAGGAGATGGCCGAGCAGATCGATAGGCTGCTCGCGCTCAACGCCCCGTCGTCTCTCAAGGAGACATTCAATCGCCCGGCGAGCCGAGTGGATGAGCACCAGCTGGCTCCCATCGAGCTGGAATGGTGGCACAAGTACCAACTGGGCGAGGAAGGCACTTCGGCCTTCAACGTCTGCTTTGCCGCACGGTTTGATCCTGCTCGCGTGGACCGTCATCGGCTCACCGCCGCGTGGAACACCGTCCTCGGCCGCCACACGCTTCTGCGGTCTCGATACGTCTCAGATCGCAGGGCTGGAGTGCGCCGCCGATTGGCTAGTAGCCCGCCGCAAGTGCATAGGGTTAGCCACATGGATCTGTGGAAGGAGGTCAATCGGCCGTTCCTCCTGGCGCAGAATGATCCCATCCGGGTGCTCATCGCACGCGACGTGCTCCTGGTCGTGATTAGCCACATCGTCTGCGATCTCACCACGCTTGAGCTCCTCCAGGCTGAGGTTGCGGGAGTATATCGGGGTGATTCGTCGCCACGCAGCAGTCCCCGCGCAAACTACATGCATGTCATGGCGCACAACTCCATCTGCGCCAGCTGCGATCTCGACTTCTGGTCGGAATACATGGCCGGAGTACCGGATCCCGCGCGAGACTCCTTCGCTGTAGGCTCGGAGCGCACCAGCTACCGAGGCACATCCACCGTCTTCCCCATCCAGTCGCTGCTGGCGAGTCAGATGCTCCGCGTCGCCCACGAGCATCGACTCAGTCTCCATCAGCTCGCCCTGGCTGCCGTGGCGCTGACCATGCAGGCTGGCGAGCCCAATACCCCAATCGACCTCCTCCTCGGCGGCCCACATCTCAATCGCAAGACGCCAGAGGCGCAGGAGACCGTCGGACTCTTCCTCGAACCTCTCCCCATCCGGGTCCGTGAGCCGGTGCCCTCCCCGGTGAAGACGGGACAGTTCTTACAGGCGGTGCGGGACTCTAGCCAGCGCGCGCTCGGTCACGCAGTGCCCTGGAACCAGTTACTCTGCCGTCTGAGCGCGGCGCAGGATTACCCCAACCATCCCCTGTTCGATACCATGGTTACGTTCCACGATAATCGAAAGAAGGATCCCTTTCCGCTGCCTGGGTTCGACCCCATCGGGATCTGGGCTGAAGGAGCAAAGTTCAAGCTGCTGTTTGAGTTCTGCATGGAGTCGGATCAGGACCTGACGGTGCGGATTGAGCATGATCGGGATTGCTATCCGGATGTAGTGGTCAATAGAATCGTTGGTGTTTTGTTGCATGGCCTGCAGTTACTTGGGGAGGAAACATCGTATCCAGCACTGCGAGCACAGCTGGCAGCCCGGGTTGAAGTGTGATTTGTCTCTTGCAAGCTGTTCTTAATTGGCATTTCTCTGCGTTCCTTTTTATTGCCTATATAATTATGAGTCTATCATGACTGCTGCGGATACAATCCTTTAACTACTGGCATATGCCTTGTAAAGCTAGTACCGCTATAGATCAATATCATATATGGCATGCTGTTATGGGGCTGCCAGATAGTATATTAGCCTCACATTCTCCCGTCTCCCTCAAGAACTGGCCAATGACTCTAGGCCAGCACATTTCTACTTGGGATGCATGGAACCACTACAGTACGATGAGGGGATGCTAGATCACAGTCTATGGTAATTCACTCTCTATTCCCTTCGATCCTCAGACAACTGTCAACGTCTGACCCAATATCACAAGCTTACGAGTGCCTCACACAAGCCCCCACCACCAAACACAAAACAGAAACACCAAGGATGACTGCTGCCACGTAGAATGCCGAGCCATCAGAATGATTCGCCTGCCACGGACCCAATACGACGGGGCTTAAGAGTCCCCCGGCCGTCTCCATCAGTGCCAGCGCCGCAACCACTCGCGCCTTGGCCTCAAACTGAACAACCACAAAGCTTTTCACAAAGGAAGGGGTGGACAAACCCACAGCAAGCAAAGAGGCCGCCAGGTACACCTGCTGCGCCTGGGAGAGAAGCAATGCGGCACCTACCTGGCTTAGTATAGACAATACTGCGGCGCCTAGATCGAACAGTCGCGGCTGTGTGTCTCGGCGCGCGGGGGCTCGACCAGCCAACGCAAGGACTTTTGGTACAGCAAAGGAGGAGAATATAAGATACCCTGCAGCGGTGACCGCGATGAGGGAGAGCAGGGCTCCATTGTTTGTGGGAGTAAAGCCGAATTGGAGGGAGGTGAAGATAAACAGCAAGTTGATCATGTACCCCTGGACCATGTTGTAGAGCAACAGGGACAAGCCAAATAGAATTGTGCTAGGATACTCGTAGAAAAAGCCGGCTGGCAACAGGACCTCGGCTAGTCGTCTTGTGCAGGCCTTTCGCATTGTCGTTTCCTCCGAGGACAGCGAAGCGGTCGCGGACAGGTCCCCTGGCTCTCTCGATGCTGGAGACACGACCAGCAATACATAGAGGATCGCTATCATGAAGAGACCGATGGCAACGAAGAAGGTCCACTCTACCGAGGGCAACCACCCGGCGCTAAGAGGCGCGAGGGCCATGCCAACCATGTAGCAGGCCAGGGAGGAGCCCATCAGCATGGATATTGTCTCGGGAGAGGTGGCTTGGACATATATGACGTTCAAGGTGAAATGCAGCAGATTATCCGAGGCTAGGCCCTGCATTATTAAACCTCCCAGGAGGCATGAAAAGCTTCTCAGTCCCACTAAGTCAACCTTTGATAAGCATGAGCCATTTGGGTCACTTGTACGCCTTGGACAGAAGACACACTCACCTCCAACAACAACCCCCAAGACGCCGACTGCGCGGCAGAGCAACCAAATTACCAGACCAGCGCGCACATCCCAATGCACCACTCGCTTCATATACCCCAAAGTGAGTAGTCCTGCCGCATTGGCCAACGCAGTCGCTGTTGCCACCGAGGCCGCATAGCGGCGCGTTTCTTCGCCCCGGCAGTGGTCTGGGTCTTCACAGAACAGAGATGCGACAGCCCAGACGGACGAGGCAGCGGTCATATGCAGAGCGGATGAGGCAAGGAAAGAAACCGGGACGGCTTTGGACTCATCGCTGACGATGCAGTTACGGCTGCGGTGATTGGCATCGCCCAACAGGCTGGCCTCCTCCTCTGCCGGATCGTTTGGGGCGGCATGGCCGGTGGAATGCATCGTCACCTTGACCTCTTCCTTTGATTTAGGTGTGTATATTTGCAATATTGGCCTCTGCTTCAAGTATCTAGTTTTTTTGACACAAAACGGTGCTGTTAGACACCGCAATTAACGCCCGCATTCGGAGCCCGGACGGATCCCGACAGCGGCACAATATTCGCCGGGGACATTACGAGTAACTCTGAACTGGGGAACTTTTTCATTCTTTCTCTGGATTGCTGAATTGAAGATCCAACGATAATTGCCGGCAATGGAAGATCTTGCCTCAAGCGCTCGAGTCGTACTGCTTCCAGCGTACCCGATCTCGCTCGCAGGTGTATACCTCGTCTCGAGCATCTGGCTCAAGATCCGGCGCGGCCGAGCAAACATAGATGATGGCCTTTTCTTCATTTCAGACGCCAGGGCCCGGTTGATGAGATGGCTTCTCTGCGTCTTTACCGTCTCGTTAGTATGGCATCAAGAGTCCGCGGCCTATTGCTTGGAACTGGACTGACTCCCGTAGTTGGGCTCCATCCTGGTAGCGCAATTGTCGACGACTCGTTATAAAGGGCAATGTAGCAGTCAATGGCTCCCGAACACAGTAACTTGCCCCATTCCTTCTTGGCTGTTCGATGGGTTATACTAACTGCGACTTATGCCCCAACCACTGCGGTATTTCTCTTCTTTGCAGCCTCTCTCCTGCCGGATCCAGACCTTCCATACCGACCGTCTGCTACCAATGTCCACACCTGGATTACTGCGATCATATTCGAGGCCGCAATAGTGGTGCTGGATTGTGTGGCTGCCTCCAACTGTCCTATTGACGTGCTTACTGTGCTTTGGCTCGTTCTGGCCTATGGACGGCTAGCGCTACTCGTTGCGACATGCAGCATCTGGTCCATATCGTCGCGAGGAGACCCCAAGGATCCAGCTCGAGAAAGCTTACTGAACTCCGACGCTGGTGAGGAAGGTCGATATGGCACGGTCGAAGCTAGTCCGCAGAAGCCCGGCGACGCTCAGTCAACGAATTGGCTGGACTATTTGGTCGGATTGGGGGTCATATTCCCCTTGATCTGGTTCGCCCAAGCACCTTGAACAACTCGAGTTATCGAAGGATGTGCTAATCGTGGGTTGACAGGCCGGCCGACTCTGTGTCCATGCAGCTGCGAGCCATCATCTGCATTGTAATCCTCATCGCCCAGCGCATCGTCAATGTCCTTGTCCCACTACAACTCGGCCGGGTTGTCGCCTCTTTGGGAAAAGGTCATATCCCCTACAAGGAACTCTCGCTCTACATCGTCTGCCGAGCGGTACAAGGCCAGCAGGGCGTCCTCGCGTCCATTCGAGCGCTTCTGTGGATTCCCTTTGGGCAAGCGACGTATCGAAGACTGACCGAGTCCGCATTCAAACATGTCCTGTCCCTGTCGCTTCAGTTCCACCTGGGAAAACGCCTGGGAGAAGTCATGAGCGCCCTGAACAAGGGAAGTGCACTCAACACGTTCTTAGACTCCCTCGTCTTCCAGCTATTTCCGATGGTGGCAGATATCGGCGTTGCCGCCGTGTATTTCCTGGTCAACTTTGACCCGTTCTACTCGCTCATCATTCTCGCCATGGGTGGCACGTACCTGTTTGTCACGATCTATATGGCCAAGTATCGGGGCCGGGCCCGACGCCAGATGGTCAACTGCGATAGGGAAATGGAGGCAATCAAGTATGTTTTGAGCCGTTTTCCATTCCGATGTTCAGCGATGGAATTATGCAATGCTAAACCACAACCAGGTCTGATGCGATAATGGCCTACGATGTCGTGCACTACAACAGCGCTGTTGATCAGGAACAGCGTCGCTTGTCCGACCGCGTCACAGCCTTCCAGCGGGCCGAGTTTGGCGTGCTGGTGTCGTTGAACCTACTGAACACCGTTCAGAATCTCATTTTCACTCTCGGCGTGGCTCTCGTGAGTTTCCTGTCCGCCTACAATATCTCCATCGGGGTCGAAGAGGTGCCGCTCTTTGTGTCGTTGGTGGCGTACCTGGCGCAGCTGCAAGCACCGCTGGGGTTCTTCGGTAGTTTCTACACTCAGATCCAAAACAATCTGATCGATGCGGAGCGCATGCTTGCCTTGGTAAGTGTCCGCGTGGGAATCCCAGGGGTCTCATGTCCGCTGACGCGACAATGGTACAGTTCAATGAGAAGCCCTCGGTGACAGACAAGCCGGATGCCATCGATCTGGTCGATTGCAAAGGGCACATCACATTCGAGGACGTGACGTTTGCGTATGACCCCCGCCGTTTGGCCTTGACCAAGATCAATCTCGATATCCCTCCCGGAAGGTCCGTGGCCATTGTGGGCGAGAGTGGAAGCGGGAAATCCACGCTGCTGCGACTCCTCTTTCGCTTCTACCAGCCTGATAGCGGGCGCATCCTCATCGACGGGCGCAGTGTGGAGGACATCACCATAGAGAGCTTGCGCAAGCACATGGGAGTCGTCCCGCAAGAGACGATGCTGTTCAACGACACGCTCATGTATAACCTGTTGTATGCAAGCCCATCCGCCACGGAGGAGGATGTTTATGCCGCCTGCCGCGCAGCAAGTGTACACGACAAGATCATGGCTCTTCCGGATGGGTACCAGACCCAAGTCGGCGAGAGGGGGTTGCGTCTATCAGGAGGGGAGAAGCAGCGGGTAGGGTGTCCTGGGTGTCCTTGGCCAATCCACAGAGGAAAGCTGACTCGTGTAGATTGCAATTGCTCGCGTGCTATTGAAGTCGCCGAGGATTATCCTCATGGACGAGGCGACGGCCTCCTTGGATTCAGAAACCGAAAAATCTATCCAGGCCTCGTTGGCCAAGATCAGTATCGGCAGGACTACCATTACCATCGCGTAAGTACACGCCCGCTTGGGATGAGGATTTCTTGCTGATGGGCTTTGCAGACACCGTCTATCTACGATTACACACTGCGACGAGATTGTTGTCTTCCACAATGGCACCATCGTGGAGCGAGGGACCCATACACAGCTCTTGATGCAGCGGGGGAGATATTGGCAGATGTGGGACAAACAGACCAGAGAGCCTCGTTCTGCTTCTGCTGAATGAATTCAAGTATAATATGCATTCTTAAACAGCATGTCAAGTTCAACCAGTTACCCAGTAGATACCATCACGTACATCATATTTATATCCATATAGGGATGTCTCTTTAATCTCCTCTCCGCTGTCTACGTTGTCTACGCTGCATTCCAAGACGCCTAGCATACGTCTATAGATGTGCCTCGATCTTGTACATTCTCTCCTTGTCTGCTCATTCCTTCCTGAAACAAAAGGCATTCACGGTCAGTGGAGTAGGATCTTCTGAACACAAACAACTGAAATGTATATTTCACTATGTACTCGCAGTCTACAGAGAAAACACTCCTTATCCGGCTAAAGCAGTTAAAAACCACTAGCTCACTGCAATCAACGACTAGGTTGCTCGCTGCTCCAGCTCCCTGAGGATCTTCTCACTCTTTGCTTTGGCCGAGTCGAAGTTGCCCACCATGTAGAAAGCATCTGCATTCAAGTCAATAGTGGCCCTCGTTATACCTAAGATTGGGTAACTCACTCTCAGGCATATCATCACCCTGCCCATCAAGAATAGCCCGGAAAGACCGAATCGTATCCTCCAAGGGCACCAACTCCCCCTTCATGCCCGTGAACACCTCCGCCACGGCAAAAGGCTGGCTGAGGAAGCGCTGGATCTTGCGCGCCCGCTCGACCTTCAGCTTATCCGTCTCGGACAACTCATCCATACCCAGGATGGCGATGATATCCTGCAGAGACTTGTACTCCTGCAGGATCATCTGCACCTCCAGTGCGGTGTTGTAATGTTCCTGGCCCACAATGCGCGGGTCCATGAGGCGGGATTTGGACCCCAACGGGTCCACCGCGGGATAGATGCCCAGCTCCGAGATGCTGCGGGACAGCTCGGTGGTTGCGTCGAGATGCGCAAAGGTCGTCGCCGGCGCGGGATCGGTCAGATCGTCGGCGGGGACGTACACGGCCTGCACGGAAGTGATGGAGCCCTTTCTTGTGGTGGTGATGCGTTCCTGGAGGGCACCCATGTCGACCGCCAGGGTGGGTTGGTATCCCACGGCGGAGGGAATGCGTCCCAGCAAGGCGGAGACTTCGGAGCCTGCCTGGGTGAAGCGGAAGATGTTGTCGACGAAGAGGAGGACTGGTTTAGTTAGCTCAATGTATTTGTGAAGAAGGTTGAGGCGACTCGCCGTCCTGTCCTTCGTCGCGGAAGTATTCGGCAACGGTCAGTCCCGTCAATGCTACGCGAGCACGAGCACCGGGGGGCTCATTCATCTGGCCAAATACCAGGGCGACTTTGGACTCCCCTTTCAGATCAATGACCCCGGTTTCTTGCATCTCATGGTAGAGATCATTGCCTTCTCGAGTCCGCTCGCCGACTCCGGTGAAGACAGAGAAACCACCATGGGCTTTGGCGATATTATTCTGGCATCAAATCATCAGTCAGCGGCTGTAATCACAGCATCCAGATTGACTGGGAGAGTACAGACAATCAACTCCTGGATAAACACCGTCTTTCCCACCCCAGCACCCCCAAAAAGGCCGATCTTGCCGCCGCGGGCATACGGGGCCAGCAAATCCACGACCTTGATGCCCGTCACCAGAATTTCTGCCTCGGTTGACTGCTCAACAAACTCCGGGGGATTCGCATGGATAGGCATGCGCCTGACCCCCTCGATGGGACCACGTTCGTCAATGGGATCACCCGTGACGTTCATGATCCGCCCAAGGGTCGCGGGCCCGACGGGAATCGTGATGGGCGCGCCGGTATCCGTCACCTGGGTTCCTCGGATGAGGCCCTCAGTTCCTGTCAGATAGCCATGGATCTTAGCGTGGTCTGGTCTGTTTTGTTTCCCAAGGCACAAGAGGCTACTAACCGTCCATGGCGATGCATCGGACGATATTTTCGCCCAGGTGTTGCTGTGCAGACATTATTAATCAGGTCTCGGCAGTTCGCTGACAGGTTTCTCGTACGGCTACTTCCAGCACAAGCTTGTTGCCTCCATTCGAAGTCTCGAGGGCGTTGAGAATCGGGGGTAGAGGCTCGCGGTGGAACTTGACATCGACGACTGAGGCATTGAACGTTCTTAGTACCAATGTAGAGGTGAGTTATGTGCAGAGAGCGTACCGGCACCAATAACGGTATGGATCTTGCCCTGTCCTTGGGGCCCCTCGTTACTGTTGAATCGTCGGACGAAGAGGGCACTGCCATAGGGCAAGGGGACCGCTCTGGGAGAGACGAGTCCCCTGAATCTCAGTAAAGAAGAGTGTCTAATCATCTTAGAGCATAGGATCGCAATGAAAGTACAAACAAGCAAGGTGTACAGTGATGGCTGTTACAAAGAAGACAAAAGTAAGGCACAAAGTCCAGGCAGCTCAATTAGCGACACGAAGATGTCTACAATCTCTGAATGGCTGACTTGGTGTCGGTAGTTGGCAGTGGACTATCTGAATCTCATCTGCTTAGTCTGTCTACTTTGCTCTTGGTCGATCCGGCGCATACGGATGCATGGGACTTCGGGGACCGCTCCCATCTGGATACCCAGGGAGACTTCCGTAGCCTTGATTAGGCCTTTGGGCTCATGTTCGATCCTGCAACTACGCTAGGCGTCTCGATGAGACTACTGCAGCATCATATCTTTACGCAGTCAGCACTGGAATAGGGATAGAACGAGCATCCGAGGGATTAGCGTGTTGTTTCCCATCTCGGCGCGTGTGGAGTGATCTCCCATCGGCCACCGAGAGGCTGCAGGGGTCTGACTCTGCGGGGTGCTGACTTGTGCGTAGACAGCCACATTTGCAGATGGAAAGAAAATATGGCCTGCTCTGTACGGAAGAAGGACCTTTGAGGCGCGAATAGTGCTTTGGCCGCTCGTATTCATTCTGGATGGCATCATTCCCAACGCAAATGGCGTTCCCCATGCTATAGATATAAATCGAACGCGAAGACCTCGAGTTCGCATCTGTAGATCCTCAGCCGCGGCTAAAAATGTCGGCGGCCGACTCGAGGCCATACATACGCCCACCTGCCATAGCCTGGATGGCACGCTACGAGCATGAAGAATCCTCCCATGTGCAACGCCAAAAGCCTCAGAAAACAGGAATTCGAGCCAGATAGCAGCAATCACGATGCAAGTCCATGCAGTCAGCCCGACGCCCTCGCTCCTCCCAGCGGACCAGAAGGCTGAGGACGCCAGCAAGATCTGGTATTTTGCTTACGGCTCCAACATGGCCTCTGAAACGTTTCGCCAGCACCGAGGCATCACTCCTCTGGCAGCGGTCCCCGTCCGCATTCCGGGATGGGCCCTTACCTTCGACATCTATGGAATTCCGTACCGAGAGCCCGCATTCTCGTCGATCAGCCCTATCCCCTTTTCGGATTCTGGCACTGGGGACGAGAACGAGAAGAGGGACCCTGCCCTCCCACCAGTGCACGGGGTAGCGTATCTACTCGATCGCCGATCTTGGTATTCTGTGGTGAGATCGGAGGGGGGCGGGACAGCCTATGACGAGGTAGAGGTTCTAGCTGAAGCGCTCCGCGCGCACGCTTGTGACGAAAATGGAGATCTGCAGCTGCTAGGGGACGAACCGAATCAGCCAGGGCGGTTCCATGTTACGACCCTAGTCAGGGGGTATGGGCCCACTGTCCCTCGCTGCCCTAGTCTGCGTTACAAGGTGAGTGTTGCCCTCCGTGTTATCCTCTAGCGTGCTGCCAACATGGCACAACATAGATAGATAACTGACCAAGAACCAATCACCAGAACATCATCCTCGACGGAGCGCGCGAGGCAGACCTGCCCCGCAAATATCGATCCTACCTGGCCACGCTGCCTTTCTATGACCCGCCAAGGAATGGCTGGCGTCGGTTGGGGGCCGTTTTATTCCTGGCTCTGTGGGCCCCAATCATGGCTGCAGCCGAGAAGCTGACAGGAGCAACAGCCAACTGGGATGGCAAAGGGAATTGCCCGTCGTGGGTGAAGAAGGTGGTACGCCTGATCCTGTTGCTCATGTGGCTGCACCATGACTGGCTCCATGCGCCTCTCTTTGGCAGAGGAGACGGCTGGGACGATGACGACACCTCAGAGCTTGACTGCTGTTAGGGTTGCGATGTTCTGGCCTCATTCCGTCCTGTTATTCACTGCAGAATCCTGTAGAGCACATGGTTTGGACAATCTGATCTTGACGGCGCACAGGAGCGCTATGGTCTAGCCTCGAACCTATGCTGATGGGCCAAGGCCAAAGACCTCCCCACGTTGGATTAATTAAATCTGGTTAATTCTACTGGACGAAGTCTCTGCCCGCCTAGAAATTCCCAATCCGTGCGTTCTCCTGCAGTCGCTGCAGATCCCTGTTCTTTTGCCGTTTTGGGTCTAAAATGGCTTGGCCGTCCGCTATAAAACGCCACCGTTTGATCAGCAGGATGAAACGGGCAAGTACTGAATAAAAACGACGAGTACGGATTGTATTTCCGTCAACACGCTCGACCTCCCCCTCATTTCTCATTGCTGGTGAGCTTGCTGGTAAGTACTTCGCGATGTGGAGCTGTAACCAGGAAAACGCCCAAAACGGGCCATCATAATAATAGACCGCTATTTAATTGCAATATATACACAATGAACACGAGATAATTACTTCGCGAGCGTCTCCCTCAAAGCCTGCAGACGTGTCTGGAGATCCGACTGCCAGGACGAGTAGATAGTCGCCAGATTCCGATGGTCACCTTGGATCTGCTGCACACGCCCGGCAAGCTTATCCACAATCTGGCTACATCGCTCCAGCTCCTTCATGAACAGCTGCACCTGGATGTCGACGTACTGCTCCGGGTCCAGACGGTAGTTCCCGAACTGGATGGTGGGGATGTGGCCCTGCGGCTCCTCGGCCTCCGAAGGCAGCAAAACATAGGAAGATGCACTCTCGAGAAGAGTGACTACGTGGTTCAAGGCGAGGCAGTTGAGTCCCAGCAGGCTCATGCTGGGGTTCGTCTTCTGCGAGTCGAGATGTAGGACAAGTTGGGCCATGCAGTGCTTGCTGACGCGCATGACCTCGTCCACGGCCATCAGCCGGATGTGAATGTAGTATTCGAGCCCATGTACCAGCTCTGCGCAGGTGACCATGCGCTGGAAGGAGCTCTGTCGATGTGCGTGGAAGGGATGGTGCGTCGTATTCACGTTTCCGCTCTTCATGCTCGGGTCTAACTGCGTGTCAACGAGCCCGCTGGAACCGAGAACCAGGGTCGGAGAGAGTTGGAACGGGGAGGTGAGTCCCATCAGATCGGCGGGGGTGGGATCCGAGAAATGGGCTGCAGTATGGCTCGACGCTGTGCAATCAATCGGCGTTCCGACGGACGGCAGGTCCTCGAAACCCCATAGCAGCGAGCATTCGTCCGCTTTTGACGGAGGCTTGGATAGGATACTGCCGTTCTCATGGCCCCTGGGATCTGTGGAAAGGTAGTCGTCAAAGTTAAACGTGCCGTTCAGGCTATTCAGACTGTTGAGGCTGCTCGAAGTAATCGGTGTACTGGCTGGCAGGGGCGTGCTGGCAGCCGGTGTCGAGGGGGAAGAGCTGCTCTCTGTGGCCGACGCTCTGGCCGTCATGGATGGCCGTTGCATGTCGTTCTCCGTCTGTGTTGCGCGGCGTCGGGATCTATTCCCTTGCACTTTGCCCACACGAGATTCGACGTAGATACAGGTGTAGCCCAGGTTGGAGCATCGGGTGCACCCGGTCTTCTCACCGCTACATCGGACCTGCAATATCGCACTTGCAGATTAGTTCCTGGGCTCCTTGACGCGTTGAAGCAGGAATTCTAGGCCCCAGCTCACCTTGGAGAAATGGCATTGGTTGCATGCAGCCCGCAGCTTGACTGCTGGTGTCGGGTTTTCACCTGCCATGGAAGCAATTTGCAAAGTGACGTGCCTCGAGAGACAAGATGGGTTCAGAGGTAGGATCGGCCAGGCATCTAATTATACAAGCTGGCAGAGTTGGGAGGGGCATAGCTGCAAAGCCTTGATTAGATCAGTACATCAAGACGCTATGCAGAAACCTAGAAGGCTCTGCCCTTGTCCTGAATAATAGTTGGCCTGCTTAAGCCGAAGCTGATAGGCGTGCTAGACGAGGTTGCAGATAACCATTATTCCTATTCCTCTCTCCAGTGGCTCGCGCCGTCGGAAGATGAATGCGTAAGCCAAGCTAATAATGCGGCAGTCTGCATCCTCCAAGCAAAACCTGAACAAACAGGAAGCCTTCCAAGAGCACGCTGACACCGCTGGATCTGGTAATTGCACCCTCCAGCCAGATTCGATCTAGATAGGCACCCACGGCGATTCGATCATGGGGGATGATTTAGCGCTGTAACATTGAGGCAATCTTGGCACACTCTTGCAGTCTTTGGGATTACGCTACTGGGCTACCTCTGCAGGTTGACGACATGAGGCCCGCCAGAAATGGAGATGACAGCAGATCTGATTAGTCTTGTCTGTCTCCACTCGAACCGGGATAGCCGGTAGAAGAAAATCTTGGATGCAGCCCCTGGGATGTAAGAAAAGACACCTATGCCATTGCCTGGGGAGGCCTGCTTTCCGAACCACGAGGCGAACGATTGTAAGACAAACGCGAATACTTCATTCGTTCATGCGTATATTGCAGATTAGTTACACAGAAGTCTAGGCGCTAGACCTGAGCATAAAAGAGGTTCTTAGGGCATATTCTACAAGTGGCTGTAACTGTGTGTGTAAGCGGCTTTTGCTCCAGCGCCATGCAGGGATTACAATCCTCATGGTTTGACCTTCTTCCAGCCTTTCGAAGATGCGAAGTCTCACTCGTGAAAGCAATCCTGCGTAAGAAGGTTGATCCGCTAAACAGTGCTATGCCCCTATAGGGAGGAGCGTGTATGAAGAATACCTTGACTGTACTCAGTACTTTGGCATCCACAACATTTGGCTGCACTTGGAGAATGATAGCATGTCTGATACTGATTACTCCGTCGTCAATACCCGTGGCTGGCTAAGGATCTGCTTCGCCATGCTTCCAAAGAGTCTGAATCACGTCGATATCGGCGCACGATTGATGTGATGGCTGAATCCATTCCGGATCACAATTGGCCCCCACTTGTCAATTGACTTGTCTCGCCTTCCCTCATGGCCTGGACTCAATACCAGTGCCTGTTGACTGACGCGAAGGAAGCGGGGTACAGCTGAGTTCCAACAATGCCTTGGTTTAGTGTTGAAAACCTACACTGTCTACTTACGTCCGGTATTTCTACAAGCGGAATCGTCGTCAGGATACATTTTAGGTTTGGTAATCTCTGACTGAGGATTCTTCAACGCGCCTTCAAGTGGAGAGCTGTAAGGACGATCCCGGACAGAGGCCGAATCGGTCCCCGAGGAATAGTTACCTCGACCCTGAAGATGTGTCCTTGACGGCCGATTGGCAGAGCCACCTGGATGAAACACACTACATCTACGATTTTTCTGCTGATGGTGGCCCGGGGACATCCTATTCCGCAACGACCTTTCAGCTCGACACACGATGCAGCAGCCAAATGGAGCCTCCTCGGACGAGGAGATTGTCAGCCTTGTCGACAGAATATGTCAAGTCAAACAGGATCTACTAGCCGTGAATAGCCATGCGGCAGGCAGGCATGAGCTGCAAAGGAAGGAGATCCTGAAGAACCTGCGGCTGGAAGCGCACCGGCTCATGCTTGCCACACAGGAGCCACAGGAAGCATTTTGGGAGCTCATTCGCAGGGTGAGTGGGCGCACAGACATAAAATGCGAGGCTAGCTAACTTTTACTTCAGTGTTCCATATTATCGCCCATCAAGGTGGCACAGGACATTGGAGTGTTTCGCTATCTTCAAAGCCAATCGAGCGCCACGGCGAAGGAGCTGGCGGCAGCTTCAGGGGCCGAGGAATCTCTCATAGGTTGGTTTTGACTGGAAAATCAGACGGTCTGAGACAAGCAATTGCCTCTATTGACCACGACTTGTTCGGTAGTGCGGATCCTCCGCCCCTTAGTTGCCGATCATTTATTGTCGGAAACGGAAGACGGCGGATATGCAGTCAGCAGGCAGGGGAGTATCTTTGGAGTGGCGGCCTATGAGGAGGCCACCAGTTTTGCGTATGCCACCTTTTTGATCTCGACCCGCTGCTTGCTTCCGGGGTAGTTGTGCTGAGCTGTCAATGGGATAGTATTGAGTTCCTGCCGGTTGTCTTGTTCAACCCAGCGTTTTTCCGTCAATACGGACATCGAGAACCCCGTTCTCATGATGACTTGAATACCCCCATGGCGGCATACTTCCAAAAGCCCGGGTATGGGTTCTTTGACTATCTGCGGGACCATCCCAGCATCCAAGAGCTCTTCATTGCCTCTATGCAGGCGCATCCGAAAAAGACAAACCTCTCCTGCTCGGTATATGACTACCAGGCCCAATTGAGATTGGCGGATGATGACCCGTCGAGCGTTGCAATCGTGGATGTTGGTGGAAGCCGAGGCGAACTTCTTCAGGAGATCCGCTCTCGTTATCCCCATCTGAAAGGGCGGATGATCGTGCAGGATCTGGCGTCCACTTTTGAGTCCATCTCGGATTCGCCGGTGGGAGTGGAGTTGATGGTTCATGATATCTTCACAGAACAGCCGGTCAAAGGTACGTCTCTCTGTGGTTTGGCGCCTGACAACTGACATTAATCTTCTGTTTCTAAAGGAGCCGCTGCGTATCACATGAAAAGAATCCTGCATGACTGGAGCGATGACAGGTCTCGGATTATTCTGAGGCACTTGGTGTCCGCAATGGATGCGAAGCGGTCCAAACTTCTCATTATGGATGCAGTAAGTTGGCCTTCGAATGTGTCTTCAGGAGCCAAGTGCTGATTGGGGATTCTGACAGGTGTTGCCCTCGACAAACCTCACCCTATCCGAGGCCATGAGTGATCATTCCATGTTAACCTTTGGAGGCAAGGAACGCAGCGAGAAGGAATGGAAGGAGTTGTTGCCGAATGTCGGGCTGGAGATCCTCCAAATTTATCGCGGACCCGAGCCAGAGGCACTGATTGAGTGTCGGAAAGTTGAGACTTGATCTGAGACCATGGCCATGTGTCTCGTCTCCTTTGCATGACTGACACTGTGTCTCTTGAGGCTGCGGTAAGATATATGTAACCTAGAGAACGCTTCTAGACAGCAGACCCACGGTCTTCGAATGACCTAGAAAATAAAATCAAGAACGCACAAAGGATTCCGGAGATTCAAAAAGTAGAAACAAGGAGGGCGCGAAAAAGAAGAGATCATGGTATCACCATTGCTGTGCTGTGATTTCTGCCTGAGGCTTCGACATTTCCATTTCCGGTGTCACAACATCACGTGATCACAGTGTTTCGATGACCGCGCTGGAAATCCTCTGCGGTCGGGAATGACGACGATCACTCTGGAGTATACCTTCATTATGCATACAGAAGTGTATGACTACCCTCATTCGATACCTTTACCATGAACCTTTGGTTGACGTGAAACAGCAGTGCTATTAGTCCTACGAAAGCAGCAGCAAGTGTGAGACACTATGGATGTTTGTACGCGACCAAGACCATGGACAGAGGATGAAAGATACCTAGAAATAAAGAACAAAAAAGCAGCCAATGATGTCTGCTTACTCTGGGCTACATTCGAATCCCGTGACGCTCAGCCTCGCGCTCGGTAGATTGAGGGGCAGGGACACATTTTCAGCCTCGTTGCGCCGGTGTCATCCATCGTTCACAACTGATCGTATGTAAATATCGCAACCTTGCAAACAACGATGATTCAAGTCCCTGCCCAGGCGTCAGACTCATGGGAGGAGGCCGTTGTAAAATATGTGAAGAGCCTGGATCCCGACAAACAGCGCGAGTTCCAAGCGCCCGCCACGGTCGAGGCATGCTTACAGATTCTATCCACAAACGGCACGAGGAAAAGAGGCTTCACCCGGATAGCCGAGTTCCTGGGACCCGTCATCGATCCCCTCAACCGGCTAGAGGGAACTCTCGATGTCATTGTCCAAGTCAACGCTGGGATTGCGTCACCGATATGGGGTCCGCTTCGCATGGCGATCACGGGAATCCAACTCCCCCGATGATGAATCCTGTGAAGGTTCGAACTAATTGTCAATGCCTCATTAGATTGCCTGTCAACACCTCTCAGCCTTGGAACGACTCGCGTTTATTGTCGACAAGATTGCACAATCAGTTCAGCGCTATCAGGATCTAGCAGCGCTGTTTGCTTCTCACGCCGGAGTCCGGGAGGCAGTCGGGCGACTATACTGTGAGATTCTGCGGCTATGCACCTGTATGATCAAGTATCAGACACGCCGACTTCGATATATTTTGAATCCGTTTGGAAAAGAATTCGCGTCCATCTCGGAGTCGGTGGACTATCGGGCAGCGGAGATAGACCGTGCAGCTCAAGCAGCTCATTTCCAAGAGGCCAAGGAAGTGAGAGAGAAATGGGCCCGGGATATGCGAGGTTTGTCATGTCTATATACGAGATATCATTTCCCACTGCGCGTTACTGATTTCAATAATGCACAGAGCAAAATCTGCATCGAATCCGGTGTTGGTTATGTCCTTCCACAGTCGAGGATGACTTGCAGCGACTCCTTTCCCACTATTCAGATGGATCCTGTGACTGGGTGCTGCAGTCTGATCAATTCCAGAAATGGTTGTTGCCATCCGGAAACGAGACGCTGGAGATTGTCGGCCGCCCTGGTAGTGGAAAGAGCACTCTTGCTGCTTTGCTCGTCAAACACTTGTCGCAGTATGGACAGGTTCTGTACTTCTTCTGTGATAGAAACAATCCCGAGAAACGAGAATCAGTCTGCATAATGAGAACGCTTCTGGCGCAGCTCTTGCAGCACGAACCAAGCATGGCTGACCAGATGCTGAGTACTTACCAGCGCAGTGGAAGAGCCGTCCTGGACTCGGTGGAGATGACGGCGGATTTATTCCAACAGACGCTCACCCATCTCGAAGGTACGAAGCGTTACTTTATTGTAATCGATGGTGATTATGAGGATCTAAGTATTCTTTATTGGCGGCATTTTCTAATCCCAAAGCTTGACTCCGCGAGCAGAGCCCAAGGACGAGTCGATTGCGGACAGGGCTCGAGCGAGCGCGCTCAATATAAATCCTTGTTCACGGGAATCAGGGAAGACTACAACGCATGCTTCTCTCATCTGCTGCATTTAGACTCAACCTATATACAGGACCAAGTTCGGTTTTATGTACAAAGGCGGATTCAGGGGATCCCCCATTGCGAACACCAGTCTGGGGGAACAGGTTGCGAACAGAATCTCAAGACAGGCCGACGGCCTGTGGTTGTACGCACAGCTACTGATGGATGATATTGAGCGGGCGCCTAGCCGAAAAGCCGTCACAGCGTGTCTCTCATCTCTGCCCCAGGGTCTCTCCGAGGTTTACGACCGCATAGTCCAAGAGAATACTGGCCGACTCTCGGATTACGAAAGAAGATTTGCTCAGTGGTTTTATGTCTGGCTAGATATCAGCGACATTTTGCCCGGTTTCCTACTCCAGGAGGAAGACCGTCTGCCCCTTCAGATCATGGACATTGTGTTCCAGTACGTTAATGATGGGGAGCCTGTGTTTGACACGCCTGGCTTAGCGAAAAGACTGGCCGGCCCTTTGGTGGATGTTCGTCAGACGATTACAGGCTACGAAGTAGCGGCTGTCCACCAGACCTTCTATCGATATCTTTCGACGACGAGCTTCGGGACCGATTCGCACGTATCACCGCAGCCACTACGGACGAGGAAACTGTCTCGAGGGATCGCGGCAGTGTGGTATTTCACTGAATGCGCAGAGTCGAAGCAGCATCTAGACGAGTTAAGAAGTGCTTCGTCAGCGCCGATAAGCTTTTACCGATTTGAATCCCACTTCCCTTTTCATTACGCTCTACTGCAGGCATTGAAATCCACACATTTCTGTTCGGACGAACGTGCGTACAACACGGAGCCCTCGGAAGAAGACATGATGGTGCAGCAGCTTACGGAATTTCTGACGTCTGGAAAATGCCTGCGTTGGTTCGAAATATCAACCATGATTAACTTTTCTGGAAATTTCAGCGCGCTTCTTAACAATGTTCTGGGCGTGCTCGCAGAACTGTCTGATGATCCGTCCAGGAACCGTTCTAATTCTCCAGCGTTGGCGGCCTTCAATGAACAGCGAGTGGCGTTTTTCAAGAATTGGAAGTATGTGCTGTTGATGACAACGCCCTGGGGCCCTGATTCCCGAAAGCCTAATCTGATAGAGCCATCTGGATTCAGTGAAGACGCGATATGTCAGAAAATGATGGAAATCGCGACGAGATGCAGTCAAGAGACGGACATTTTCGCTCGCCAGGATGAGATCTTAGCAGGAGTGAGCGTTTGTCCACGATGTTTAGAGGTCTCACCGAATTGGGATACCAAAAGGCATAGGCTGAGATGCAGAGCTCCACGGAGTCGTCGTGCAGCATCGTGAGTTTGGCAAGGAATGTTTGAGCAGGAGAGGCCATGTTTCCAGTCACAAGCTGTCTTGTTGGCTTGTTTGCCTGTTGTTTATATCAATGGGAGGTAGCAATCACAAGAGCTATAGTCAATCAGTGGCTACATCAATATGGCAAGTAGTCAATGCAGCTACGCTATCAGAAGAATGCTTAAGCCCAAAATGTCGTCTTCGTTAACCCCATTCTTGTGCCGGTCACTCAACAGGAGCAAAGGTAGCAAGAAGTAAGTAAAATAGTTTCCTCTACAAAACTTTCGCATTCAGTCAGAGTAGATGCAGATAGAAAGATCCAGAATTATACACCTGGGTGGTTATATCTTAAGATCAGAAGTAAAGAAGGTGTACGTTATACTGCATCAATGGCATCTTAGGTGTTGTGTATTTGGTATCTTCAATGTACAAGGAAGAAAATATACTTGGAATGATGCTCCATCTTCTCAAAAAAGCGCTTTCTGATAATCCGTACTCTCACGGAAGAAATGTCACCCTCCAACCGCTGGAAACATGTCCTAGCATTGTCAGCCAAAGTAAACTGGCCATGAAATGTAGCCTCAACTTAAAATGTACCTCTCACCCAGAGCGTCTTAACCGATTCATAGGCATTGACAAATAGCAGCCAGGAGGGCATGATCCTGAAGCAACCTCTCTCCCAGCCTCCACAGAGGCTCCCGCAACTCTTGGAAATGAGGCCGAGGCTCATACAGGGAGCCACCAGACTCGGACTGGGCTTTTGTAGAGGGAGAAAAGTGTGTACTACAACTGACTGCCTTCGATATGAGAGTGTGAGTCTGAGATAGGACGCTGGCGTTCATGTTGGATTTCCTGGCAGTCAGGCTTACCACATGGTGAGAATCCAGCTTCGTACTTTCGTCGAGCGATTTGTTGATGAGGTGGTCTGGAATCATGAATTGATATGTCAGGGGAGGAGACTTACTTTGCACGGCAAACCCTGTTCAGCAAGGCCCAGGCTATGAAGCCCCAAAGGAGGTAGTCTTGTCCTCCTTGGTAGCGGAGAAGAGACTTGGGTGAATTGGCGATGGATGTTCATGATTCATATTTGGTGTACGATTGCTGTTTCCAGTATGAATTTATCACTTTTGGCAGATGAGTCTCACCACTGAGGTATGTATACCAGGCGTCAGTCGGGGTGCGTTGACCGGAGATGGCATGAGGAGAGCGGATAATGCACGTGCGGCAGACACAACCCTCTGTCTGCTGTGTACAAGAAGTAGCTTTCGTTCAGGACCATCTGCTGGAGGATAATGAGAGTCTCCCGGATCGTCTCAGGTAGTATTATCAACGGCGGGTCGTCCTGCATGACGGTCAATACCCGGTTCCCCGAAGATAGCGCTGGAGACGAGTGCACACGAACCAAAGAATCGACTCTCTGAATGCAACATAACTTTGAGGAAGGGAATGCGAGCCCATTTGTCTTTGATGTGCCTTACAACACCGAGAAGCACGATGATTGGGCAGGCTAGTGTTGTCTGAGCAGGCCGCCTGCCCCGCTGAGATGTTGGTGGCTGATCTCCCCTCGAGGAATGAACAATCCTCATGAATCAGGCAAAGACGACCATTACTGAAGAGAGTTGGGGATTGACTAGGCGCCACCTCCTGAGTCCTGCAGAAGGTTCAGTGCTGCAGGAATGAGGTTGGATTCTGCAAGCACGGGGGGTTTCTGCACCCGATGGGCCGAGAAGGATTGGTTTCCTTGTACTCTGATGCCGTCTTCCGGACGGTAAAGTTGTATCCCGTCGGTCAAAATACCGCTGATTGGATCTGGGTGTCGTAATCTCGAGTGGTTTGATCAGAATTCAGTGATCGAGTCGTTCCGTCCTCCGTCATAGCGACTGAACAAAGATATGCGTAGGACTAGGAGGGAGAAGAAAGCTAAGTTATGCAGAGAACAGACGTCGCTGATCTACCTCCACCGTGATCTGAAACACAGAGGCTAGCCCTCAGTTTAACTGGCAGGAAGGTACTCCTATCTGCAAGGCAACTTCGTATTCTAGCATACGCTCGAAGCAGGGATAAAGGGTGGATCGGGCAATCAGAAGCATAGTTTAGCGAGCGAAGTGCATAATGCTCAGTAGCGTATGCAGATCGGCCGCTCTGCTGAATGCTATTAAAGTGGTGCTCGTTCCCGCTCGTCACTCGACCTCAATCGGGAAGTTCCTCGTCAATCAAAGAGATTCTGAAGACGTCCCATTGCAAGTCAGAAGATGGCTAACAAGAAGCAGCAGAAGAAGACCAGGCTGCAGTCACAGTACACGTGGCCAAGGTAGCACCAATGCAGCTCGCAGTCAATCCTACCCACTAGTTAGAGCTTGTCTCTCCTGCCAAGGGGGAAGAAGACTTTTAGGTCTTGCGGTGCGATTCCAGAGGGGATCCCCGTGGATACGATCCTCTATTCATTGGACTAGCGACTTAGCGTCCGTCACTTCATTCGCACGGACTGCGACGGGACTTGGAAGAAGGTCCTGGCTAGTGATCGTGAAGTTCAACGGGAATGCAATCTAGAATGAATCTACTCTGTACTCGATCACGGCTACTCGTAGTCAGTAAAGCGTGCAGAGATAGAGTTCTCGTATCTAGGGTTGCAGATATTGCGGACTGAGCTGTTTGCCCGTTGGCGCAGGAAGATGGAACGAGGAAATGATACTACTACAGTACTACTACGCATATTGGACTATATTGGCCTCCCAGGATCAGCGCTAGTCGAGTGCCACAACTGTACTGCAACCAAAAATCTCCGAGGCTCAATCCTGCGCTGAAGCCTGCGACTGTTCCTTTGCCACGAGGAGGACCTCATTCTTCCATTACCCTCGATTTTGTTCGATTACTCATTATTTCCTGTTCATTTTGCAGTCTCAGTCTTTCCCATTGTTTACTCCACCAATCTGGCCACGCTACGAGCAAGGCCGGTGGGCCCGTAAGAGCGGCTGGAGGCTGACTATCCCACCAACATACTGCAGAGCATCCTATTCGCTAATACTCCCCATGACCACGAGATGAGGCTACATTACTCTGCCTTAGTCTGCGCGCTGACGAAGTCCTGCTGGGGGCCAAAACTTCAAATTCCACCAAAGGAGCCCGTATTCCACGCAATATTGCAGTATTCCAGTGCGAAATAGCACTGATTAGCATAGCCCCTCGTATTGTCAGCCCAAACCCCCACGTCATATCACTCGTCAACTCTAACGCGCTGGCATTCAGATCTTAGAGTTGTGGCTGATCCTACCGGACGTTTCTCGATCAATGAGGGCAGGCGCCAAAGAAGCTGACGGACAATGGGATCAGCAGGGCATTATAAAGAACCCTGTCAAGCCATGTTTTTCCAGTGTCTTGGCCCTGCAGACGAGACCAGACATTCGCCTTCAGCTATGGCTCGCTAAGTTTTGACTCGTATTCGAGACAAGAGGAATGAGGTGCGTCATGTCAGCTCGTGCTTCTGGCAGCGTGACTAGGCATGAACTGCTTCGTCGGGCTCAGCTCATTCCCTCTTTCTACAGGATAACTGCCGTTGACTGTTTTGTCCTTTCTCTGCTACGCTCTCGACCTTGAAAGGACAAGCACACGACACTTATCTCGACATGACAGTTCAAAAGTCCTCTCCAAATTGCGTCGCAGAACCAGAGTCCTCGGGCAAACCCAATCCTTCCGCGCCAGCAGGCCAGTCACAGCCGAATCCCCCGCCGAAGAAAGGAAAAGACAAGAAGATCTTCAGCTGCCACTCGTGCCGACGGCGCAAGCTCAAATGCGATCGTTTTGACCCGTGTGGTGCCTGTCAGGCGAGAGGAGAGGGGCATTTGTGTACTTGGGAGGAGGGACAGAGACCAGAGTGCGCCCCTGCGTCGAGGGATCCCTCGGTACAATACTAACGGAGCGCAGACGAAACCACAGAGAAAGCCTCGAGCAACTACCAAAGCTGATTCTCAAGTTAACCGAGGAAGTCCAGGAGCTCAAAACGTCGAATTCGGCCTTGATCCAGAATATCAGGAGTAAAGAGAAGGAGTTTGCGGAGAGTCGGGACTTGACCACGCTGGACTACAGACCTCCGTCCCATGGAGGATCGGGAAGCAGTTCTGTAGGCGGCATTGGCTGGGGTATGTTGACCCTTGCGATTGAACAGTTGATGCTGATCCAAGTATAGACTCGCCAGCTCGAGCCTCGGATCGCAGACCGTGGACACCGTCACGACTGATTGCATTGCTGCCGGAAAGCCGATTGCTTTGGGGCTTGATTTCGCATTACGTGAGTCTCTGCCATCATGTTAACATCCTGCAAACGGCTGACTCGTTCCGTGGGTTAGATATCCGCATCTGCCTCGCTAACCGGCTTCATCGACGTGCACCAACTCATCTGCGACGTCGAGGAAGTCCAACATCTACGGCAGGGTCTCGAATTTGCCAGTTCCCCCACCTCGCTCGAACATCTCGACATCAAGGTCTCCATGATCCTAGCGTGCGCCAGCCTCGCAGCCGTGGACCTGGATCCAGGGAAGGCGCAGGAGCTGGGGCTCGCAAGTGCAGACATTGACGCCCTGGTCCGCGATTTATGGAAGGGATCGCGGACCCTCATCACACCTCCGGACCTGGACTCCTTCCCTCCCACGGTCAGAGCCGTCCTCTCCGAAGGTCGAGCGCCGCCGATACTCGACACCAACAACGACGTACTCCAGCAAAGCGGAGCCACGACCACCCCAGCCACAGATATCCCCGTCCAGATCGTCTCCATCAAGATCCTCCTCCTGCTCGCCGCGCGATCCTTTGCCGCGCCGTCCGAGTACCTCAAACTCCACCTGGACGTCATCTCTTCCGCCATCGACGCCTCGCTGGACTCGCCCTACGACGACGAAACCCCACTGGTCGAGCGCGAATGGCGCTGGCAGCTCTGGTCCTTCATCTGCCTGCTGGACTGGACCTCCCCAGGCATCTACCACAACAGCAGCTACTTCATCCGGCCGGAGATGCACCGCGACCCACCCTCCAAGGTCCCCGGCTTCCCCGACAACGGGACCTACCCCTCCACCATGGAACAAGAGCACTGGGACCGCCTCAGCCAGACGAGACACTACCTGGAGTACGCACTAGCCCTTGCAAACCTCTCCCGCCGCGCAGAGGACTGCATCATCCGTCCCGGTCCCGTATCCCCCGCCCAGGCCGCAGAGCTCTGCACCGAGCTGGACGCCCTGGACAACAAACTCTCCTTCTACCAATTACTCGGGAGCACCCTGCCCGAGGGCAGCACGTTCGCCCCCGGCGGGATGCCGGTCGAACCCGCCCCCACCGCCGGGGACCTCACCACCCACAAGCCCAGCACCGAGCACCGGCTCTCGCGGGCGCGCACGCCCCAGATCCAAAACATGCACCTGAGCCTCGAGCTGGGGCTCATCCGCTTCAAGCTCTTCCGCCACGAGGCCTTCCACCTCATGCACGCGCCCACCACCTCGGGGACCCTGCGCATGATGTGCATGGACGCCTGCATGGACGCCTGCCTGCTCGTCCTCGCGCAGTGCTGGAGTATCGGCAACCGCGACGTGCCCGGTGCTCAGGCGCAGGCGCAGTCGCAGGTGTCTCTTGATATGGGCGAGGAGAAGCGGCCCTGCACGGGGAGTCTCCGGCGGGTGCTGCAGCCTGCGTCGTCGGCGGCGCTGGTGGGGCAGGTCCTGTTGCATGCGGCGCAGGGGGCGGA